TTCGAATTCACTTAATTTCAAACGTACGAACACTTAAACTATGCATTCAGTAAACATTTCTTCATGATGGCCGCCCCCCTCTTCATAAATACATTTTCTTCTACCTGAATTTTAGTTAACAGTCGCAAGTAAAGAAGAAGAAGATAAGATTAGCATATGAAGGTGTTTAAAAATCTAGCCATACGTACATAATGTCCCTACCTGTTTTCCCAATGTTTTCTCGAAGAAAGGCAGGTCGATTACGTGTATAAATAAACACCGGATATTTTTTGACAAAATTTAAATTTATTTAAAGTGTACTTACTTTATCACAAAGCTTGATAATCGAAATATACACCATTATCGTCTATGGTCTGTTGCCGCTTGTCGAATGTCCCCGCGGTAGGAACTTGACGGTTTCGAGACGATCTAGCCGATAGGAGCGGTCGAACGTATGCAAATGTTCATCGAGTTCATCAAGACTAAAATTCACAAATCACTTTTGATCTCACAGCAGCCTGCGTTTTCACCACGAGCCAATTTAATCATTTCCGTATCCTGAACTAAACTTTTTCTCAGTTTAAAAAAGAATAACATGCAGCGCCATAAACGTGATGCACCCCTTCACACTATATGATACACGGCCACGGACAGCTTGTAAACAACTGGGACTGTATACCGTACAATTGCCAATGTGTACACTGAGTATATACTCAAAATTTCGGAAGAACTGAAAGCTTGAGACATGCATATTATTAAGCAATCAATTTGAACACAGAAATCTTAATTATATATCTAATAGATCCGCCCGAATGGCCGAGTAGGCAAGAGTCGTGACTAGCAACTCAATGATCGTGGGTTCAAATCCCAAGCGCGGTAGAGTTTCCGAGCCGAAAGTCTTAGATGCTAGTGCTTTAAGACTTTAGTCTTAGGATTTATTCTCTGACTAAATTTATAATAATAATAATAAAAATAATATATATCTAATAGTAACAATGTTTCGGACGCGCCATCCCGAGCCGTCTATAATGAAGATGCCCAAAGAGTGCTAACAATATCTTGCTTATAAATACCACGACCAGGATGAGTAGCTGAGTAAGCAAGGATCGCGTTTAACAACTCAATTGTTGCGGGCAAAAATCTCAAGTGCGATAGAGTTTTCAATATAAGCGAGTGTATGATCTAAGTTCTTTGGCAGCCTTTAAATCCATTCTTGGTAAATTTAATTACAATAAATAAATTAATAATTACATATCATAATTAACATAGTGCCAAAGGATCGTCGGCCATGGCGCAACAGCACACAATTCCATCAGACATACTTGAAACGTGAATAAAACAATTTAAAGGATAATTAAATTGAAAAGTATGAGCTGAGTGTGCCCGTATTGTGTTAATTTCTTATAGAAGAAATGCTAGCCATACACAGGCTCTTTCCTTCATTCAGGATCCTCATAGGGAATACAGAAACTTAATCTCCCTTCATATTGCTTTGCTTCTATTGAAAAGCGTATAGCATAGAATTGTTAATCCTTTTCATTGTTTCTCTCTTTTACTACAGTGTGTATATACATTCTAGCTAATACATTTGTACTGTGTGTAACAAAAGCGAAATTAAAGTAAAATAAAGTGTCTAAATATTGACCCAAAAAATATATATATATATATCACGACTAATAACGTTTGTAGAGACTTTGCCTTCCAGAGTAGCCCATTGCAATAAAATTAGACGTACTTGTAACATCACAGAATCTACAAATAAGATGAGTTCGATTACAGCGACAAAATCTTATGATTTGTTCCCCTCTATTTTCATTATAAATTCATGATGATTATGAAGCTGTCGTTAATAACGAAGATCAAATATTCAAAAACGGTACAAAACACAAAATATGTAACATAACCTGAAGAGGAACAATAACTAAAAGAAAAAACGCATACGAAAGCTAATAAAACAAACGAAAAAGCAAATAATAATAATAATAATAATAATAATAATAATATGAGAAAAAAAAAAAAACAAAAAATAAATAAATAAAATGTGAATCTTTTGTAAAAATTTTCTCAGCTGTAACAGGTTTTCAACATTTAAGCTCAGGTTTCGAATTCAACACAAACAGTTGACATTCTGTTGAGGTAATTGAAAGACATCACAGTCACAGCAGCACCATAATCATCGACTACCATCACGCAGTAATCAGCAAATACGGAGCGCAATCGGGCAATTTTTTAAAAATTAAATATCATCAAACCGAAGGATATTAAGGAAATTGTTATAAAAATGCAACAAAATAAATTTTGCAAAAAAAAAAAAAATAAATAAAAAAAAAAAAGTGAACAAATTTTTGTACGTTTAAGATTTACTTTGAAGCAACTTCAACTTTAAAGAACTGAGATCGGTTGGTGCATAGATGTGCTTAAATACTGAAACGTTTTCAAAGTAAAAATAATTTCTAGCACCATTCGAAATCAGTGCTTTTAATTGAAATTATTCAACGTCTGAACTTGAATTTAATTGCGTTTAATGAAAAGTGAAGTAAGCTTAAATCAATTTGCGAAATTAATTTGCCGAAAAAGACTCTGCTTTCTATGCAATGCAAATGCAAAACAACATTTGATCTGGAAGCCTCAAAAATGCTTTCAGGCGAAATTACTGAACGTCGATGCATAAATCTCTAAATCAAATGATGTAATGGATTTTTTCTGCCTTTTTTTTTTTGTTTTTTTTGTTTTTTTTTTTTAATAATATATACTCTTATATGTCGGCCATAACCATAACGGTTGACCTATCACCGCATTTAAGTAATTCATTGGGCATATATTAGTATCTAAACGCTAAGACAGATAGTTTTGATCATTATTTGTTCTTTTTGGCGGATGCGTCCGTCTATCTAAACTAGCCATGTCAGCGAATCTTCCCTCTATTTCAGCATGCTATTCTTTGTACTACACGGGTATATTAAGCAATGCATAAAAATAATTATATCCATATATTTGGATGATCGGATGAACAGTTGAAATTGAAGGAATTTTTATAAACACGCAAAATAATCCAACACATCTGTTTTGGAACGTATCTGAGTATCAACCATTGAAGGTATAATTTTTTTCATCGGTTTCTGACAACATTTTTAGGTGAGTCTGGTAAATGTTCTTAACAAGTTTCAGATCAATTTCAGTCATATTTGGCACGCTATTAAAGAACATTTTAAGATTTCTTTTTCTTTTTTTTTTTTTTTGCTTTTGCCAAATCAATCTCAACTCCAAGTTTGATCTATTTGAAACTCCACTAAGAATATTTATAACAAATTTTTACCTCAAATATTATGGTTTTAAGAATTGCAAAAGGCAGTAGTACTAAAAGCTAAGACACTTTGTGGACCTTTTGATCGTCATTTTCGTATTTTCCAAGCAGCGAATTAACAAAGTCACAAACAAGGCATTGGAAAAAATCCACTATCGCATTAAAGGTCACTTTGAAATTCTTTTTTTTTTTTGGCATTTTGCTTTCAAAATCTCTTATTCGCAAGATGTTTATCAAAAATTATGTGTTCAGGCAAACCGAAAATCTTCACATTTCAAAAGTTTTTAAATCAGGCAAAAATTCCACCTGTATATAGCGGAAAATTTCGAAGAAAGATTACGTAAATATTTAAAAATTATTGAAACAAACATGGGGAAAAAAATAATTCTCGACTGCACCTTTGAAAATGTTTCTCATAAAAAGCCAATCCGAACATTTCGAATAAACGTTCCATATCCGTGCCAAGCCTCTCAAAGTAATGTATCATCAAAAATTTTTTACTTAATAGTTATGAAATTTTATATATCACAAATGAAAAACATTTCCCGATATTTTAGAACAATGGATCGTTAATAAAAAGTATATTGCCCTTGCTTATTATTTATTAAAGTGGAATATAATCGATCTGTTATTGTCATCGATGTAAAGTTATTTTTTAAAAATAATTCATTTTTACATTTAAAATTGCTTTAAATTCTACGCGAATTTGTAACGGTAGTTGTCGAACTGATTGAAATAATACAAATGTAGCGCAAATATAGCGGAAGAAAACAGGTCCCAGATGTAATGTGAAATATTCATCGCCACGTTCAGTACATAGCAAAGATCTTTCAAAAGCACGATAACTATTCGAAAGAAAGAGAGAGAGAGAGAGAGGGTGACGCACCTATAGCTAAAACAAAAATAATTTTGTTCTAAATAAATTAAACGAATCCATGTTTACAGATCCTCGCTGCTCTTAAGATCATGCTGCTGAGCCGCCTTGAATTTCATTTACGGAAATCATTTTTGTAATGGCCTTATGAGAATTTTATATCCTATAATCCGAGATAATTCTTTGGCATTTGTGGATAGCTTGTGAATGAAGCGATTTGAGTGTCAATGCTCTATCTAAACATTCGCGATAATAAGATGATCGATCATGTAGGATGAAAAAACGTCTCAACAAACGCAACTAAAATTAATTCAGGAAGGTGACGCGGAGAAGACAGACTATAAACACATTATGATAGCAATTTACGGCAATAAATGCCTATAAATGACTTCCGCACTGCACTGCGTTTGCGTTCTTTGTTGTAAATCTTCTAAGGGCCAAATTGGTTGATCGACTCTCATAAGTTATAAACTAAATTTTCCACACATTCAAGCCGCGTCTCTTCCGAGAGTTTCCAATTTTTATGCATTTTATATAAACACTTGCAATTAATTATATTTACAATGAGATACCCTGGCCTTAGCTCGATAATCTTTGTGCAGAAGATTTGATTTCCGATCCATTCCACTCATTCGAGCAAGTCTCTCTCTTTCCATTGTCCTTATGTTCTTAATTATGTTAAATAGCGATTGTCTGATTACCGAGTATCAATCACTACATAACGCAATATTTCTCTTTGAATTACTCCAAGAATTTTTCAATCTACTATATTTACATAAGTTGGTTTACGCACTTTTGCTCGATTAGTTAAAATTCCTTTATTAAAAGCCCATTAAGGAAAAAAACAGTGAATTTCCTTTCAAAGCAGCTATAAAAATATAAAATATGTATAGAAATTGTTCTGTTGGTTGAATTAGTCAGTTGACTTAGTATTCATCATTTTCAAACGGATGATGGGGATGGCCATGAAGACTGAAATTATACAGAAAAAAAAAAAACATTCAATGCTTTAACCTGAGATAAACGAAATAAATGAAATGAATAAAGTTAATGTTGAGAGGAAGATTGAAAAAGAAAGAAATGACCAGAATTGTATATAAAAATTAATATTTAACGCAGCGATTGCACGTTCCTGACTTAAACTATTTTTAATGATGGTGGACATAATCAATCGGTCGATGTAAAGGATTTCTGTGAAACTTTTAAATGTGTCTAACAAACACATTGTTGATAAAATCAATTTGTAATTGGTTTCGTTCTCCAATTGATATGAGCTCAATTTCCCTTAGCGGTGCATTGCACTCATTTCTAAAGTTCACTTGTAATGTATACTATATAAATCACTATAAGAAATCTTTTTTTTTTGACGGGGAGCTCATAATAACATGTTCCCGTTGCGCAGGTAGAACACGGTTTATATTATAAACCACTTCTCTTAGAAAAGGAAATCATGTGATAACGCGGGTATAAAATCCTTAACAATTAAATGATGAAAATCGCCACAAATGTGCAGACAGTTCGGCATACCATAAGTGCAAATAAATCCAAAATTACATAATGGACAAATTGTGATGCAATATAAGCAAGAAGTAACAATGTATCAAAATATAAGGTGCAAATATTTTTACCAACTTTATAAAAGTACCCACGAAATTCATCATTGTAAAAATCAAAAATATAAAAATAAAATTTATCATAATGTTAACGAAACCCCGCGTCGCTGATAAATTAAATAAATTCATTATTTAGGGAAATCTTAATCAAGAGGTCTTAATTAATACTTACTGGGGTAAAGGCACAAATCGCCCGTTACAATCGAAATCGTCAATTGCCTGCATATCGGCCTCGGATAACTCATAATTAAATACATCAAAATTAGAAGCAATACGATTTTTATTGACCGATTTCGGTATAACAATGTTGCCGCGTTGGATTTGATAACGTATTAAAATTTGCGCTGCGGTTTTACCATACTTCTCTGCAATGGTTAAGATCTAAAAAATATGGATGTCGAATAAATTATTTTGCAATTATTTACAAATTATAGTTTCTTTTACTTTAGGATCTTCCATCAATACGGGATCTCCAGCTTTGGCCCATGGACGATTTGGGGAACCCAATGGACTGTAAGCAGTAATGACTATATTTTTCGATTTGCAATAAGCCATAAGCTTTTTTTGTGTTAAATACGGATGACATTCCACTTGGTTAGTGGCTGGGGATATACCGGCAACGGACAGGACACGTTCAATTTGTCGTTTATTAAAATTTGATACACCAATTGATTTAACGAGACCAGCCTTAACCAGATTTTCCATTTCTTTCCAGGTGTCAACATAATCGACATCAGAAAAAAGAGTCTTCCCGTTTTCATCTGCTGGAAATAGCTCTGCACCTTCTTTAAATCCCATAGGCCAGTGGATCAAATACATATCAATGTAGGCCAATTTAAGGTTTTTTAAACTCTTCTCACAAGCGCTACGCACTAAATCAGGACGATGGAATGTATTCCACAATTTGCTAGTGACAAATAAATCCTCACTAATAAAAGAGAAAAAGAATGCAATTTTTTATATTATTATTATATGTACAATAAATTATTCATCATCGTTCTAATCAACACTGACCGCTTTATTACTCCTTCTTTAATTTTAGCTTCAATACCTTCGCCTACTTCATGTTCGTTTTCGTAGACATGAGCGCAATCAATATGTCGATAACCAATATCAATCGCATCTTTCACCGCCTGAGCCACTTCACCTTTTGGGCTCTGTAAGTAAAGAAAGAAAATGGAATAATAAGAGAAAATTGATCCTTAAGCAAATAAGAATTACTCCGGCCAATCATAGGCACATTAAAATAAGTACAAACATTTCCAAATAGGCATTGGCACGATTCTTATCGCTTACATTGTTTGTTGTAGTTTGTTAAGTATGCTAAAGCCCCAATAGCGATAGGCTGATACGTTGTAACGACTATTTAAATAGTAGTAAAAGCTAAGAGTAATTAGTTATTAAACCTGAGAGCCTGAGGTCTTAAACAAGCCCCTGTGATATTCTGTATATTTGTATTTTTACTTTAAACTAGAAAGCGGGATTTTAAATGTAAAGGAGGAAGGAGAATACCTCTCTGTTTTTTTCCAATACTTGCCATATTTCATGTCCTGCAGGTTATGCCTAATGGTTTCATCTGATTGTGCTAAAACGAGCCGTTTCCTACAAATTTTTTAAAGCCTTGCGAAAAATGCTTTTATTTCTTATTTACATATTTCATTTTTTATACAGTTGCATTTCTTATTTATTCGTAACGGGCAGAAATTTGTGGTTTTCTCGCACCTTTTTGGAAGTCCGTAGTACCGACGTTCCCAAAAGAAATATTGGGGGGAACAAGGCTTACTGTTTGGACGAATAGACTATGGCGACTTTAATTACAAATTTCGAGCAACTTTATTTATTTGTTTAATCTTATTTGCTTACAGATATTCAATATAATTTGCGACAGAATATAGTCAAACTAACTCAAAATCTCATGATGCAGAAATATACAAGTTTAGTGATTCACTGTATTGAAACTCCACCTGTGCAAGGGCGTGATGCAATTTCGCAATAAATATCTTTAGAATGACTAAGCATTTTTTTGTATATCATAGTAAAATGATAGACAAAAACTGAAGAAATATATACTTTACTTACCCCCCATGTGCCTAGACCCAAAATAGGCATTTCATATCCACTGTTCAATTTTACAGATTTTACAAAGGCCATCTTCGGTGGTCGTCAAAATTAATGCGGGTTATCTTAACGTTGTTTCGCCTTTGTTAATACAACGCTCAGCCTTTATTTATATACACGTATATGGTTTTACTTCAATCGCCACGATAAGAAATTGCTTTTGCCTTAAAAATTCTTCTAAGAATTTAAATTATCAGCTTAGAGAATAAGAGAAAAAATCTAAAACGTTTAGATATATATTCAATTAGTGATTCTCTCTCTGCCTCTCTCTCTCTCTCAAACGAGTAAAAAAAAATTTTACGATAACGAAATGCCTAGTAAGTCAATATTGCCAAGTCTCAAAAAAACTCCTCCTAGAATAACACAAAACATACAAAAAATACAATATCGAAATGCCAAGCGAACTAATAATTCAAAGAAATGAAATAAATTACTCTCAGAGCAACATATGTATACATAATCTAGACAATGTTTACAATTATATTCATTTAAGAAATTCGAGTTCATTCTATGCCTATTCCTTCCTCTCTTTTTTAACAAGATTATACAAAGATGATGATGGCCATACCCGAATAAACGCTGCCAAGAGTATGACAGAAATCTGTTACAATAAACTGGGCAATCGCGTATTTGAAAGTTAACTTTCGCTCGTGGACAAACCGATAATTGATAAACGTTTAGATCGCAATTGCGTAAGGCTTTCGTATCTATTTCGTTGCTGTCACTCGCGTGCAAATGAAGAAGCAGAAAAGAGGCAAATTCTCATTTATATTTAATTGTAGCTGTCAAAATACGAAAAATAACAGCTAGTTCTCTTCTCTGAACCAACTATTAGTGATGTGGTAGACGAATATTTAGCGCGGACATTATTCATACATTTTACATTGTTTTTGTAAAAGGGACAAAAGGTGAAATTTAGATAAAATGGAATAAACTACTTAAGGCAGAAATTAATAACTACAAAATAAGTGTGTGCAAGTAAAATAGTTTCTTGTGCATTTTTTAAATTGACGAAACTAACAATCGTAGTAATTGTTAAAACAGTAGATCTACACATTTGCGCGTTCGCCTGCGTTTAGTGCGACGTCGCGAACTATATTCGTTGATTATTTATGTTCCGATAGCCATATTTAAAAATTTCCAAACTGAAAATACTGAATCCAATGATAGTTACGATTAAAACGAAGACTTGATGTAATGGACAGAACACAACGTCGCAATGATGGCAGCGATTCTTCTAGGGAACTATATTCGTTGATTATTTATGTTCCGATAGCCATATTTAAAAATTTCCAAACTGAAAATACTGAATGCAATGATAGTTACGATTAAAACGAAGACTTGATCTAATGGACAGAAAACGCTTTAAATGGAAGTTTGATGACAATGTTTAGTGCTAGTCTTCTTTTGGTTTAAATAGTTTTTTACATTGTAGGTTACTAAGAATTGTTAACTTATATGCTATTGTTTTTAGTTTAGGTAATAATGGGAGAAATAGTCGGTGAACAAACATAATAAAAAGACATTGATATATATCAAATTGTTGGTATAATTCTCGTTATTAGTAAGCTTTTAATATACAATTTTTTGTATGTTTTTAAAATATGTCTTTATAGTATTCCAGTGTACTCGATATACCGTCTGAAAAGGGTATTGCTAGTATACCTAAGAAGCAAGAAAGTACACGTATTTATGATTTATTGTTTAAAACGTTCAACACTTGTTTTCTTTTTATTAGGTGCAGTTAACAAAATAAAGTTCAAATAAGAAAAGTAGCATTTAACACACATGATTTGCTAGAGAAGCAAATCCATAATAGACGACATTTTCCGTCCGAGATCGTCCAACAATTGTAAAGGGAGCAAAACGAAACTGCGATTTCTTCTTTCCCTAGACCCCAAACGATTTCGAGGATGATAACAAGGAACTTAGTTCAATCTTTTATTTTTTTGCCCGAATTTGATCAAAAAAAATATATATATATATTACATATAAATCCATATATGTATCACAAATATATTCAGAAAGTGTACACATCTTTATGTAGGGTAAGGGAATTGGAAGCATCTGTCCTTTCCGTCTCATAACGATTCTCTTTCGCAAAGTTCAATCCTCTACAATCAAATGGTATAAAATGATGCGTCGAAGCATTCTGCCTAATATTTATATATTGATTAACACAAAACGATTATTTATTAAAATGTAACAATATGTTACTTATCTTTCACAGATTCAATCTTTTTGTTCATTTGGTGTTTGGAGATGAATGTCAATAGGAGACTAAGTCAATAAAAAATATGGCTTGTATGTCCACTCAAAAATCTTAAAGTAAAAAATTTTCTTTTTTTGCAATTTTTGTTTCTGTGATTAACTTAAACCTTTTTAGTTATTAATTCTCGGTTTTCTTTTGGTTTTGTTTGTTAACGCAGTTTAAAATTCGTTTTTCTTTTTCTTAATCTTTTGTTCTAGTTCACCAGTTAGCGCGGAAAACAATTTTGTTATCAATCTATAACTGTTTTCTCTTATAAATGTATCTCTAAGCAACCAATACTAACGCAAAACGTGAGCTTTTTTGCTTTCGCGCCATTTGAAAAGTATGAGAGATTAGGCTAATGTAATCCCCGAAAAACCGATGGTTGTAAAAAAAAAGTGAGTGCTATCCAACTTTCAGATACGAGCTTATCCCCAAGGTATTAATTATATAACTCCTTTAAGATCACCGCAAAATCATGTGTTTAATGTCGCTCATAAAATTAAATCAAATTGCAACTTTTACGTCTCACGCCACTATACTTCGGGACGAATACTATAAATTCGGGAATAAAAATATATTCAGCCATTTGTGCGAACCAGATAAAGACTAATCACGTGGCTGAAAGTTAGCTGACGTTTTCGTTTTACAGCTGGTTTAGCTTTACGTATGTGATAAAATTCAGTTCAGTTTAATGACTATCGTTTTTTTGTCTTTACGTATACACAATAGTTGTTAAACTATTGTATGTCTCAAATTACCTTAAAGTTAAACAGCTCAGATTTGAGGTTAGAATTGGTTATTCTGAGTTAGTGTTGACTGTTTAGAGTTGCGTTTATAACAAAAAAACAGTTGTAAATAGAAAAATAATTAATTCTAAACAAATTTGTTTTACTTGCAAATAGCTGAATCAAAACAACAATTACAACACAAAGCCAAGACAAATTAGAAAAGTTTTGACCAATCATGTTGTGTTAATCGATATAATAATATGGAGCAGGTTGCTTCGGCATACCATATTATACCATTTGACGAAAGGTGTTGAAAATCGTGAGAGAGAATTGCTATGAGACGGAGAGTGTCTCTTCGGCATTCCAATAACCTTAGGTGTAGGTTTTTTTTAATATATTTTTTATGAATATATCTATTTATTTATATTGCTGCATGTAAATTTCTGCATAAGTAGAGAGTTTCAGGCGCGTCTTTCGCTGGTGGTCCATTTAGCTATAACTTGGCGTGGTTGCGTTCTGGAGAGTACCAATGTCTGGCCGGTAATAACTACTCCGTAAACGTATCGCTGGATACGCTTTTGGCCGTTTTATTTTAAAATGCATAAAAAGTGAAAGCTAAAATTTTCCACAGTTGTATCCGGTAGTGCATTAATGCCGATATAAAAATTTGATTTTATGAGAGAAATGGCGTACAAGATAGTAAGTAGTTTTACATTTTGTTGTACAATAATTTACAATGTAAATAATCCTAATATTTGTTAAATGGTTGGGTGGGTTGATGAGACTGACATTTATTTTCCAAAGCTCGCACAAGATGAATCGCTTTCCATCAACCGAGAAGGGAAACCTGGCTTGAATGTAGTATTGGTAAGTTAATCGCCATATTCGTGCACGTTTTTTTACTTTCTGTTAATATAAATAAATTATTCATAAGGTTTACCACCATAAAATGAAATTAACAGAAGTTGATTTTACATGTTTGGGATCAAGCCAGGACTCACACTCAGGTGTGGAGGCACTCTAATAAAACGGTCCACTTAAAAGACGTTTGGAATTGCTTCAATGATAGCGACAATATACGACGACATATGAAATGGTTGATTATACACAACTGCTTATAAGCTTTGAAGAATTAAGAGTGTTAATTAAACAATTGGAGTAAAAACCAAAAACAAAGAACAAATGTACTTATTCCTTTTTTTCTTCTTATTTTTTGTTTAGGGGAATGCATTAGGTTTGTTAACAATAAGACCTATATATCCAGTAACGTGATCAATTTTTAATATAAATTGTGCGTTTAGATTTACAGTTTACTTATCTTTTACAAATTTAAAAATTTTTTTTGGCTTCAGCTGTTCGCAAGTAAGCATTTTTGCTTGGCATTTATTTTATTTTCGATTTACAGCTGTTTTCTCTTATAAATGCAACTATCAATCAATAACCGTGGGAGGTCGTTTACAGAATATATAAGAATTTTCTTTCTTCCAAAAAAAAAAAAAAAACAAATTAAATAATTAGAAGAAAATCAAAAATTTTTTCTCGAGATTTGCTTCAATAACAACACAATTAAATAAAAGAAAAAACACACGAAATCTCTGCAAAATATTTTGTATGCAAGAATAAAAACCATATATCTTTGATCTGGAAATAAATTGAGCATTTATGAAGCTTAAAAAAAAGAATTCAATTGATTTATTATATTTATAACAGAAAAATTAGGCAGAAAAATACAGACAAAATTATGTGATTGTTGAGAGGCTTTGTTTTACGTTTTACCTATCTAACCGCTTAGATAACTTTTGACTTAATCATCAACAATTTCTGATACGTTATCTGATTTTTTTCATTATTTTTCGCGAGTACGAACACTAAAAGCTGCCCGCCTGAAAATAATAGCTGAGCATTTTATTTTTATGAGCAGTAAATTCAGCAGATACTCATTAGTAATTTTCGGTATCTATTATAATATTTCAATGAAATCTTTCGTGCTCGCAGTAAAACCTATTTTAAGCAGCTAACTGCTTTTATTATAACTGACGACTTCTCCTTTTAAGCTATCATAATTGTAATTAACCTTTTTGCCTTGCGTAACAGTATTTTCAAAAAAAAATTTTATAAAATTAAATAAGAAATCAATAATACCTACACAGCCATAGCTTGATATCAATCTTCTGGACTAAGCTCCAGAATGGACGGTACTGAGTGAACTAATACAACTTGAATATTAACTAATCGAGAGAGATTAATATCATTGTATCATCAATAAACTATTGTATCATCATAAAATCATCACGTGATCTGCATCACATTTTTCTTCTGTTATCAACCTTATTGTGATTATTAACCTGAAGCTCTTAAGAAGATTTTAGATTAAAAACTCATAACGTTACTGGATATAGAGATCGCATCATTTACAGGCGTGATCCATTTCTCCTTTATGTACCAAAAAAAAAAACCTTACCAGTTTTTCAAAATTGAATTACTTTTAAAATATTTGATGTAGAAATCTTTTCTAGGACCACATTTCTCGCTGCAAATGAAGCAATGAAACTCTTAAAATAATCAGCACGCGGAACGTCCGCTCGCAACAGCCCCTAAATTTTTTTGGAAGCGTCAGAATCTATTAAACGCAATTTTAAACAGATTAATTAAAAAATAATAGACAAGCAAACTTAGTAACGCGTTGTTTTTTTATAATTTATTTACCTTATATGTTACAGTGTGGTCCCTATGTACGGATCTCATCGTGCTGGGCAAGCAAGAACTGTCGAATTGAATAATGGTAGGGAAATACCATACCTGGGATTAGGTACTTGAGGGGTAAGTAACAAATGTCTTCTAAATCGATCCATATATTATATTTAAAAAAAAAAAATTTTTTAGAATATCAAGGCACCAAAGCAATGATTAATATGATAACAGCCGGTTGCAGGAATTGACTATGGTTGCATCTATCAAAATGAGCCCGACATTGCCAGTGGGATAGAGAATGTATTAGACAATAAAATGGTCAAAAGGTTTGTATGCCTAAAGCACTAAAAACCGAATGGAACATCTACTAAAGCTATTATTTGCGATCATGTGTGCACTTACAGAGAAGAATTGTGTGTAACTAGTAAACTGTGGAATACATTTCATTGGACGTATTTGCTTGAGGAAACGATATGTACGTACCTAAACGACTTCAAATTGGATTATTTAGATTCGTATTTGATACATTAGTCAATGGCCTAATATAAAGGCGATGCTTTACTACCAGGACATGCATAATGTAAAATCAAATATTGAGATGTTGACTATGCAGACACTTGGAAAACTGTAGAAAATGGATTTTTCAAATTTCAATAAGATACCAATTGAACGAATTTTAAACATTCGCAATGTATGTTCTGTTACACATCAAATAGAATCCCATCCATACTCGTCGCAATGTAAAATGATCGACTATTATCGGAAAAATAAAGTTGTTATTATAAGCTGCAGTCCCTTAGGTAGACGCTCAGAAGTGAACAGAGTTGGGAAATAATTTTAACTATTATTCATTTAATAAATATGAAATGAATCTTAAGCTTTCAAAAATTTTTACATTATTTTATTTCATTTATTTAAATAAATTTTTTTTTTTCTTTGTTATGACCATATCAAGAGCCTTTCTAGTTTTTGTGCAAAAGTGTTTGTATAAAAGTATGATTAAGAGATTTAAAAATTTGGGTTATTAAATAATAATAAGAATTAATTATTTTCTATTTAAGAGTCGAAATGTATGCCATATACATGTAAAATAAAAGAGATACGCTAAAAGTAAAGTAATCTATGAGTTTAATGAATGAGAGATTAAAAGAGAAAAACTTATCCTCTTTCATATGGATCACGTCGATGGCCGCGTTTTCTAAATTTAAAGAAACAACGATCTTTGATATATATTAACGATAATTTCTCTTCTCCCTTACCCAGCAAATTAAAAAGACGCATACCATAAACTTTTAATCAATCATATTTTGCAAATCCTCGGTACTAAATTCAAATTCGAAAATATTTAAAATAGCTTTGCATATTTTTACAAATTACTGCAAATTAGGTATAGCGCCATGACACAATTGAATTTGATATTTTCAATATATTGAAATTGAAAATACGGATATTTCTACAGAGACCCTAAACCCTTCATTGCTTGCCATGTGTACACGCAGTAGACATCCGAAAAAGAAACCCGTTCTTTTTTGATTGAAAAGCGATCACCATAAGATATATCTCTAAATGACCAAAGTTTTATTTTTCAGACTTTTTGTGCTACAATTTAGATACAATGAGAAGCTTGTCCCTAATGGATAGAAACTTTGAGACAAAATTGTGTATTCAAACCTTTCGAATTGTTCCTCTTGGATTTTTTTTTTGAGCCCGGTTCTAATTTCCTGAATCGAAATGTCCGACGACCATATCAGTGGTAGTAACAACAACTGCATCCATTTCACTACGTTTCGTCTAATTGGACACCTAAATATAATTAAAGCATTTTTAATTTAAACGTGTGAATACATACCCGGCCTTTGTCGCTGACTTCATCCACTTCGATATTTTCGATTACTGCATAATCGTTGGTGACCCCCATGTTCCTAACCCTGAAATAGGCAACTCATTGCCATTGTTCACAACTATTTTTTCGTAGTCACGTCCATGAGCTACGAACAACGGAAAACTAGAAATGTATTATCTGTGCGTCACCGAATTAAGCGTCGAATATCTTTTCTCTAACCCATATAGTGATTTCGAATATATGTTGTTAAGGGCTCAATGGAAGTTTTTTTTTTACATTGTTTCTATTGTTTTCAGAATTACTGGCCAGGTAATCACAGGTTAATGTCCCATTGAAACACTTTCAGTTATTAGTTGCATGCATTCCGAATGTAGGAATTGACAAGTTTTGAATCAATAACGTTTTGGCGTTTCCTTACGTAACATATATGAAAAGTTGCTATATAAATAATGTGAGTATTTAATAACTGCTGCGATCGGGTCCGAAGTACTAATCCAAATGAGATATTGATTATTTTAGAAAGTTGTGAAATGGTCTTCCAGTGCCTTTCAATTTATTATTCACTTCTGTTCCGATAATTGAAAAAAATACAAAATAATTCGAAATCCGTAATGAAATTTGAAAATTTTGTCATTGAATTCAATTTTTGAAAGCTTCTTTTATTTGTTTTCATAAAAAATATTCATTGGTTGACATTTAAAAAACTTTTGAAAAGCTCAGAAGGCATTTTTACGAATTGTTGAGAGAACGTTTCGTGTAATTATAGTTCATTGTAAAATAAAGTAAATAAAAATTCAATATTAAATTATTTGTTATAAAGCAATTATTTGGATCATGAGCACAGAGAATACGTTGTTGAAAAATGTGAAAACCGTTCCTACGATACTATTAAGTAACGCATTTTCAATGCCTATGATAGGCTTGGGTACTTGGAGAGTAAGTTGGATTGTGTCATAAAAAACTTGACCCAAATTACATTGAAACGCATAGTTTATGTTCATTTCGCCGCCACTCAGGGTCAATGTGAACATAAATTTATTCTTGCTCTTGCAATTCATTTTTTTCTTTCTTTGGTTCTCAGTTAAATCGCAATCCTACAGATGTGATTTATGATGCCATCGATGTCGGTTACCGACATTTTGATTGCGCTCATATTTACCGGAACGAACCCGAAATCGGAAAAGCATTCAAGGATTTGCTACAGAAAGACGTCATCAAAAGGTTTGTATAACGCATCTCTCGTAACTCATATCTGATTATTTAATTATAACGGAATGAGGTGAATTTTCATGACAGGGAGGATATATTTGTCACAAGCAAATTGTGGAATACTTTTCATGAACCATCTTTAGTGCGGAAAGCGTGTGAGACGACCCTCAAAAATTTGTGTATTGAGTACCTGGACAACTATTTAATTCACTGGCCGATGGCCTATAAAGAAGGCGATGAATTGTATCCCAAAGATGAAAACAATCGATTCATTGCCTCCCCGGTCGATTACGTAGACACTTGGAAAGCAATGGAACCGCTAGTAGATGAGGGCTTATGCCGTACAATAGGCTTGTCTAATTTTAACATGGAACAAATCGAACGTATACTGAAAGTAGCCCGCATACCGCCTTCAAATTTACAAATCGAATGTCATCCTTATTTGAACCAAACAAATCTAATGGAATTCTGCCGATCCCATAATATGGTAGTAACTGCTTACAGCCCTCTCGGTTCACCCACTTCCCCCTATAAGAAGCCCGGGAAATATCCAATTTTACAAAATCCGAAAGTTTTAGAAATATCAGATAAATATAAAAAAAGTCCTGCTCAAGTATTAATACGCTATCAGATCGATAGAGGTAATGTGGTTATACCAAGATCTGCGAGTAAGGATCATATGCGCGAGAATTTCTCTTTGTGGGATTTTACTTTGAAGGCCGAGGATATACAAGCCTTGAATGAACTTTGTTTTCATGGACGATACATGATAATGGTGGAGTAAGTAATATGAGTCGTTACTGTTATTTTAAGTAAATAATATGTTTCCAATCATTGCTAGTGCCCAAAATCATCCGCATCATCCCTTCGCTGACGAGCTTTCTTAAATTTTGTGTGTTCTCAATGTTGTCTTCCTCAAAAATTGTGTGATATATAATGAAAATTTTACATAGAAACGATGAAATAACAAAAAACAAATATACAACAAATTTTAAATCAATTTCAACAAAAAAGTTTAATTTTGAAAGGAGGAAAATAAAAGACGTAAAAGAATATTCCGAGTCCGCTGCGAGTTTTTCTAGATTAAAGAGTATGGTTCTGTATCGTTCTTCTTCTTCCTAAATGTCTTAAGCGTCCGCAGATTGATTTCAATAAGAAGAAAATCATCTTATGATCTGTCCATATGAGCGACGTATTCACAAAATTCAATTCCAAATAACTAACCTCCCCGTAGATAGGATACACAGGCATAAGTAACAATTCGAAAAAATTCGAATAAATTTGAAAAGGGGCACAACTTACTAGGTGGCACAACAACGACACTTTCAACGATAGATGTATATGAGGTGGAAGAAAATTAACCTTAAAGCGCTACGACTTTCCTCATATTTTCGTTTTTCATGATCGTCATTAGGAATCGTTTTTTAAAATGTCATTGAAGTTTTCTAAATTTTGACTAACGTGCGGAAAATATAGTTGAAACTTCGATAGTACTCCCGTTCTCTCTCGCTCTCTCGCTCTAAATGAAATGGAAGTTTCGTTGAAAATTTTTGATTATCTTTTTGAAAATTGTATAATGACTTATCTGTTTTGTCAACACAAATTGAATTTACTACTATTCGACGCTTTGTTACTTTCTTTGGCTAGAACGCCAGAGCACATTACTATTTCCACGTGTATGTGGCAGAATTTTCCTACATTATCTTAAGAGTACAGCATTTGGTGAGTTGCTCGTTTCCCAAACGTTAGCGTTGCGAATTAACGGGCCTAGGCGATATTCTTCCGAAAGGTTTAAATCAAACTTTCCGGACCCGCTTAGATTCAACCACTTTAACATAATTAAATACCAATAGACTTGGTCCCAAAAAATCCCTGAGATGCTGAGGAAGGATGTATTACTTAGCTTAAAGCACGTGACAAGCTGCAATTAGTTAGGAATGAGCGTTTATCGCTCTCATCTGAGTTGAACAACGGCATCTAGCGAGAAAAGTCCTGCCGCATCGTTTGTTAAAAACATAGTTCCTCCACATCTAATGTAACATTATATCAAAGGACAACTACTACCGTGAAGGTTTAACCCCACGCTGCCCGATGGCACACGGAGCGTGAAATACTCGAATAACCCCGAGGTAAATAAACCCCTCAACATACGGTGCCGAAGTTGGCGCACACGTTGCCATGAGGACGATTAAATCCTTGAGTATCAAACGGTATACGTTATGGACGTATCCCTCCTCTGGTGAGAGCGAGGCACTATCTAAACCCTCTGGATTTCTGTGGGTAAGGCATCCGGTTGCGATGCAATTCCACACCAAGCAAAAGCTCTTCCCGCGATTTTGGGCTAACCACAGCCACCACGAAACTCCCGCTATGGGTCGTTCCCGTTGTCAGGCCAAAGCTAGAGGAATGTTTTGGCGGCTCCTGACGCCCTTGGTATCGGAATATAGGAAAAAAATATAGAAGAAATTTATAAAAGTCTCCGGTCAGACTTTCTAAGTCCCATAAGACCCGAACTCGACATAAGATGGTCATTCGAAGGAGAGGAGTTATATCAAAGGACATGAAAAAGTTCGGTCCCATAGAGCAAAACTCATTGAGGAAATGTTTGCGGCTGCACATTGCATTTGAATGCATATGCAGTGCTCGCCACCGCAGAATATCTCTTAGGCGGCCAAATTTCATAATTCGCTCACAAAAGTTGCGCAAACACATTTTATTAGATTTTATTGAATTCTTGCACTTCTTATAGATATTTGTGTGTGTTTGGCAGACGAAGCACATGTTAGTGAACAATATATTGGCAAATAACTTATTTGAATAATCGATAGCCGCAATACTGCTAACCGCGACATTCGCATTTTACGTTGGGAATGATGTTACCAAAGAGTTTTTCAATTTTTGCCAGAAGTATTTGCAAAAAGACTTTAAGATACGCGATTAAAAATTAATAATTATTAACTCAAAAAACAAAAAACCTAGAAACTGGACTTCCATCATTTGCACCCGTACACGACAAATCAAATCCGTGTTAATTTATTTTTTACATCAGCACTTTTTCACACCATTGTCAGATCGATAGATATAACAGATATAAAGAGTGATTAATCACTCCTAGTCCAAAGGTGGTAAACTGGTTTGTTTACCATGACCTGTTGCAAAAAAAAGTCGTAAAAATTACTTGTCCCAATTGAAAAAAAAAACCTTTAAGCGAGATGTCTTCTAATTGCAGAGTCGTTTTAACCCGCCGCGATTTATATGATAGGAAATCAAAAGCTTCCAGTTTCTGCCTAAAGATATTCAAATAATACTTTATTGCACCCATCATCGGTATATTCGTTTTGTCAATACGTTTGCAATGCCCAGAAGGTAGCATCAGACACTCGACAAAGCATATGTATATTCTTGATCAGCATCAAATTCTAAAACCGCATGTCCATCTGTCCGCCTGTTGTAAACATTCTGCTGGCCGCAAAGATAAAGCTATCGATTTCAAATTTGGCTAAAGCATTGAAAGTTCTTGCACGAAAGACGGGGCTACCGTACCACGTAAAGTGAGAACATCTCTGTATTTCAAAAAGAATAAAAAATTGTTTTCTTAGTCATTACTCTTGAGCTATAACAGGTAAATGTACAAAGCTTTGAACGCATATTCTCTATACCTGCACAAAAATTAAAAAAATTGACTCCTATCTGATATTATAGTGAATCAAAATTTTGCCTTTTCCTCAATACCTTTATAACATGCAGACACAAAGACCCCGTTAGGTACATAAATTCTTGGCTAGTTTCAAATTTGGAATGCACCTGAGCCTTTTCATCCGTTCGTCCGTCCGTCTGCCTAACTGTTTGGCATTTTCCTGTTAACGAAAATGAAGATATCGCCTTCAAACTCGCAAAACAATTTGGAAGCGTTCTGAGCTCTTCAAAAAACATGCCTATGCGAGAAAAGCTTTTATTTTGAAAAATCGAAAAAATCATCCGACTCCATATTACAGAGCATGAAAATTTGGCTGTGTTACTTATTTTTATCTGTTTTAGGATAACGATGATGGGTATAAAAAATTCGACCACGACCGAATATGACTTTCTTATTTGAATTTTTTTGTTTTTGGAATCGGGCGAGAGCGTGGACTTAATTAAATACGATTGCGTATTTCTTTCGAAAACCAATTTTGTAATATCTCAAACCCATATTAAGATCAACAACTAAGGAAATTATATTTGATTGTCACCAAATCTTTAATATCCATCACCGTTATCCTAAAAATGAGGACAAAGTTGAAAAACAAAAATTTCCATACTTTATAACATGGAGTTGGCGCGGAAATGGGCGCGTGGGTTTTGGGTTTGCGTGCTCTTTGAAAAGTTTAGATCCCTTCCAAATTCTTTTACAGCTTTTCAGGCGATATCTTGATATTTGCGGCCAGGAGAATGCTTACAACACATTTTACACCAACGGACAGACGGACAGACGGAGAAATTGATTTAGAAGTTCATGCTGATCAAGAATGCATACACTTTGTGGAGTCGCTGATGCTTCCTTCTAAGCGTTGCAGATGTTTTGACAAAGTAGACATACCCTGCATCCTTTGGTGATGGGTTTAAAAAATTAAACCAAAAGCAACTGGGAATAATAACCTAACCTAGAATTTAGAACAACTCAGCAGCTTTATAAAAAAATCGAAAGTAAAATATCTTTGCGAATCCTTCAATGTCCTTCGCGAATTTGGTTTGTATACGACATGATCTCCGTACCATGAAAATCTAACCAAAAAAAAAAAGAAAAAAAATTGATGTAAAATATATAGTATATTGAGACATGGAAATATCGTGTATAATAAATTAAGGTATATTAATCGAATTAAAATTTGTACATTGACATATATTAACATAGGCGAGTTGTTTAATGACCACTTAGTGTAGGGAAAACTTTTCATTTTCACTTTTAATTTCAACACAAGCCAGTGATGTTGTAGAATACACACTGAACATACATTGAATACAATTTCTCGCTTTTCTTTTGTGTTGCAAGTGACAAGTGGTAAGTTTATCCACCATATGGCCTTTACGATTAAGCCTCTTTTAACAATTAAGTCAATAAGATACCATAAGATATTATTTGTTATTAACACGGCAATAAAAATGTAAAACACCTTGGTGAAGATACTAGAATCCCATCATTTGAATAAAAATTTCTTTATACATCGAAGCGATATGGTTTTCACTTTTCACACACTTTAAAATTTTATGTATATTAAATGATTCATATGAGTAATACTAGCCGCCGCATTATAAGGTAGATAACGCAGTTTGTGGTGGTGCCATTAAGAACTTATCTCTGTGAGCTTAATATGTCAATACAAGAGTAGATATAACAGATTAGGCAGAACAATTTAGCTTACGACCCATCAAGGCAAGGCCGTTGAGGCATGTACGCTCTTCTTCGACCGTTCTAAAAAGCTGATATAAAAAAGTTCGACCATTCGACCAACTAATGTAATTGTAATTAATAAAATATTTTGCAGTCAGTGCACTTTGCATTAAGATGTGAGGGTACCAAAGATTCGCCGCAAGGCAATTATAAATTTATTTATTTATTTTATTTATTTATTTTTGTTTTTTTTTTGCAGCTTTAGCAACGTTGAACAATTTGAACACGTTCTAATTGCAAATAACACCTTTGGCTCTTATCTTGTTACGGAAAAAAACTGTGGTTTTACATTTATTTGATGTCCAGTTGTTCTTTTTTCACTTCTACCGAACACAAGCGCCTTTGTGTGTGTTTTACATTTTATTCCGAAATGTATGCAAATAGTTGTAAAGTGGAAATGTGGTTGATGGCGATAAAAGTTTTTTTAGTGTTAAGCATATAGATATGATATATATATTTATACAAATTGTATGTAGTCTTCGTAGGTAACAAAGTTAAAATTGTATGCCCAGAGTAGTTTAAGATAAGTCTAAAGTTGAAAAGAATTCTTCGCGGCAAATTCGAATAAAATGCATTCCTTTAAGTTGCACGCCTCTCGAAATGTTTCCATAATATCTCCAAGAGAATAACAATTAAAACTAATATGTATGAACAAAATAGCATAGCGAATAACGGAGCAGTGTATTCGAGACCGACTTGTACGAGAGCATTGTTACCCAAATAGCAATTTAAACGAGAATTAATCCAATGACGATGAAACTTACTATAGATGCCAGTTTCAAAAATGCGCACAAGTCTACAGATCAACATAAAATAGTTTAAACATTAAATTTTATATATGTATGTGTATGCGAATCATTTGAATTCCTTAAAGAGCAAACTCACCGCCAACGTAGAATTTCAATGAACGTCGAATTTCGGTTGACATGCGTGTGCAGGTCGGCCGGAGGTCGAAATAAAACTTCATTCAAATCGCATATTTCGTGAGCGTCGTAATAACGTTCCACCAAACCGAACGAGAAAGCCTCAAAAATATATACAAAACCCGGCTCATCTCTAACACGTAAAATACCCTCCTCGGCTGGTATCCAAACACTACCTGGATTGGACTTAGACTCGATTTTCCGTTTAACGAAACGTTTAATTTCCGGTAATTTTGAAAACTATTCCGCATGAGAAACAAAATCGATTAGACGGATGTTTATAATAATAATATTTCAGCGAAATAAATCACATTTAAATAGGCCGCATTATAAGGTAACGGTTCCATGGCCACTTCCAAGTTACTATCAGCCAATTGGCCAATAGTTTTAATGTCCGATTTAACCGGCGCACCCAGTAGCGTTGAAACGACTATTGAAGTGTAATAGTTATACATGATAAACGTCAGCAAGGATAAGCAAATAAACGTTAAGCGGCCACCAAACGAACTGGGAATCAATTGACTGCTCTGCACGCAAGCTGTACTAAATGACATAAGGCACGTAGTTAATAATGAAGGCACATATGTTAAAGAAATTTTCATCTTATTGTGCTCCACCAAAAATATAAACCGTAAAAGCACGCCAATTAAACCTAAGATGATAGCAAATAAAATCCATACAGCTACGCTAAACGGTTCCATGAAGACTCCGGTTTTCAAGTCCGCTTTCCTTGGTGTACGGAATATGCATATCGATCGAAAGTGGCCGTTCCTTAGAATAGGCCGCGAATAAAGTGAACGTTTCTCCGTGAAAAGGAATGGCGTTGAAAGCAAGTCTGCACTATGCTCATAGCCTACCGCACCTATACAACCGCCAGTAGTTTCCGTTACGCTCCACGTTTCTTTAAATTGATAAGAAAAGCTGGAAAATGAAAACTTGGAAATAAAATGACTATTGGTCGTTAAAGCCTATCACAGTATATACTTGCTACCCAGAATATCTTTTAATACCATCAACACCTGGAATCCAAATCTTGGCAAACCATCGATATGAGTATTGTTTTGTGACATTAGATACCCGATTAGCACTTCTTCAGGTAAATTAATTGGCTTTCTGGTCACCTATAAATACAAAAAAAAACAGAACTGATTTGCAATTTATATTAAGAGATTAAATCACTGCAAATTTTTTCAGACAACGACATTTGCTCATAGACTTAGTAAGTACTTTGAAGCTTTGAGAATGTGTGGAGAACAAATGCATTGTGGAAATGTTTTCCTTGAAATGTTGAGCTCTACCTTAAGTGTTGCGAAAAGTACACTTGTGTCGAATAAATCCCTGCTGGGAGTACATCTTCGGCAGATGTAACAAAATCGGCAGGTTCTGGTATATAAGCTTCGAAAGAAAAGCATGAGGGCAAATATTTGAACGTGGAGGGGCATTTTTACGGTTCTGCGATTGCAGACTGAGGGCAAAAGTCAATAAAAAATGTACTGAAGTGAAGACACGTTTCTACAATGCATTTCAATATTTTGAATTGTTTTCAAATCGATCCGCATAGTGTAACTTAAACAATTTCCATTCCACTTAATCAAACTATTTATAGTACTTTTAAAAAGTCGGTTTCTAGTGAAGCAAGGCCCGAATTGCTTGCCAGCAAAATAGTGTGTTTCTTTGGTCAAAAGCCGAACTTTTTCATTCAGAAATGCCAGACAATTACAAACAATTTTCAAAATCCGATCAATGCTTTACTAGATAACAGGCCTCGAGAGAATGGCTCCAATTGATCCATATTTACCATTTTCAAAAATAATGTTTTTCCTAACATTTAAAAATACGCCTAACAACCTACTCCAATATTATTATGCTATTACCTCTCCTATCATCCTAAAAGATATTGAATAGGAAGCTTTGAGATTGATATAGGAAGCTTCAGAGATCCCACAAAACGTATATATTCTTGATCAGTATCAAATTCTACATTCATATATCCGTCTGTCCGTTACGTATAATGTCTGTTGTACACATTTTTCTGGTCTCAAAAGCAAAACTGTCGACTTCGAATTTGGTAGAAACATTACAAGTTCTTGCACCCGGACTTGTATCGAAAATGAGACAAATTGGTACAGCCACACGCCTACTGTACTATGTAAACTGCGAACACCGCTGCTCTTCAAAAGGAATAGAAAATTGGTTTTTTTCTCATTACTCATAAAGTACAAAAGATGAATCTACAAAAACTTAAGCGCATATTCTATGAGCGCTACAACAGTATATCAAAATTTTAATTTTTTTTCAAAACGTTTATAACCCGCAAATTCCCCATAATGTATACAAATTCGTGGACAATTTCAAGTTCGGAATGCACATAAGCATGTCCTTGGCCATTGATGTCTTTTAGCCATCTGTCCGTTTGAGCAGTAGTAGACAGGTGCTAAACATTCTCTCGTTCGCAAAAATTAAGATATTGTTGACGCGCCTATGCGACAAAAGCTTTTATTTTGAAAAATAGAAAAAATCAACCGCAGCCACTCACATATTACAGAGCATGAAAATTTAGTTCTTTTGCTTTTTTTTTATCATTTTTACGATGACGATGATGGATATAAAAGATTCGGTCACGACCAAATATAATTTTCTTATATTTTTTTTAAGGCTGTCACTGTGCTTTCCCTACCTAATCTACAAGATTTATAAAGGACTATGAATGACATAAGAAATCGAATTAATAGCTTAGACATAGGTTTAATTTAAATTAAAATAATTATGTAATGGTTTAGTAAAAGTTTTAATATTCGAAATATTTGATATACATCACATATATGCGCAATATAAGCTTACCACCGTACATACTGTCAACGTTATGTCCGACAAACGCTCACGATTACCGGATTTAGATCTTTGATGCAAAGTGGACAAATATTTTTGTAAATGACAATTGGTATGGGAACAGGTTACAGCGTGATCTGCAGTCATGTTTAATCGGCCTCCCCATTTTTGACCCTTATTATAAACATCGTATAATAAAAATGTCGAATTTTTCGATGAATTGATATGTTCATCACTAAGCATGGCATAGGTAAGGTCCGTATTAATGAAAAGATTAAAATTCGAAACAAAAATTTTAAATTTCATTATATTGGACATCTCATCATAGATTAACCAACGATAGTGGTGATCAAAGAGTTTCAAGTCGTTCGCCTGAAAAATCAAAAAAAATTAACTTAAATAAACTGTAGCCCTTTTGAAGCATTACATTAATTTTATGATTTAATGGATAGGTTTAAGTAATTAATATATATGATCTTGATGGGAGCTGTTCTTTTGTTTTCTTAAAGTTTTTCGCCCTTTTTTTTTTTTGCGAAATGAATTCTCGACGAATTCTCTCCCAGGAAATGGTAAACTGAAACAGTTACGCGAGAAAGTAGTAAATATTTGAAACTTTAAGGAATAGTTTTGCCTAGTTGCTCATTGGAGCTATATAGAAGTTCATGAGCTATAAACGACAAAAAGTTCTTAGTTGAATGTAGAGATCTAACTGAATTCATTGCTAATGAGAGCATAGCGCAGCTAATGTTCAATCAAGTGGTCACGAGTATAAAAAAAGCTGAATACAATTATTTTAGATAACCTTATTTAAAAGTGCTCCCGATTGCCAGCAATTAAAATCGATAAATACTCCCATAGAGGATCGTTGATGCTGAAAATAACGTTTTATAAAATCATGATCCGCAATAGCATAATTCGCGTTTATATTTTGCATATATATGCCATAGTTTGAAGTCATTCTCCGCAGTTGCAATTGAGCTAAAAAAAAAAAAACGAAAGGAAAATAGAATAAAAAAAAAAAAATAAAAAAAATAAATAAAACGAAAAAAGTAAAAAGAGAAAAAGAGCAAAAGATAACTCATTGAAATCCTGCAACACAATGCTATTCATTTCTTGTGGTACTTTTTATATTCCAACAATTGAAAATGGCTGCCATTTGCACTTGATTCTGCATAAAATTGTGCAAAATAAAATTTAACAATGCAAAGTTTATCATATTCGGGCTTTCAATAAATTATAACAATTTCCGGTATCTTCAACTTTATATATGTATATGTTTATGGATTTATATATACATATATATATATATGTATATATGTATATATAAAATGAAGAATTGCTTAAATTTCCGTTTATATTTTAAATATGAATAGCGATAATTTTTTATTGTATACAACATTTTTATGCATTACGGGGCCACTTTTTATAGTCAAATTATATGAAACGTTTTTATGATGTATGTATGGTGTCTCTATGAGTGTTGCATTTGTTTTTTTTTTTTTGTTATATTTACTATTATAATTATAATGGGTCAATAAAAATGTCAATATTTGTTTTATTTTCAGCTAATGAGCGCCGTCACAATTTAAAGGGTCCTTTAAGTGAATTAAATAAAACATGTGCAGCAACATTGAAAAGAAAATGTTCGTTTGTCCGATAGCGAAGCCTTAATACCCAGCAACGTATTAAATGCATTACATTGATACAGTTTTATAATTTTTTAATATTATTTTTTTATTATTTTTACTTTTTTTACATCCTTTAGTGCAGAGCAATAACTTATAGAGTATCTAAGTTCGAGCGCTTATTTCTTTTAATAAATCCATTTACGATCATCTAGTATTTCTAAATAGTAAAACAAACCTACAGCAAAAGCTATACTACTTCAGATACCTATCAGTGTACGCTCGTGGACTGCGTGCAGAAAATGCATGAACGCGGTCATGGCTTTTTATTTTGGGCTATGAGACTCATTTTCATCAATCAAAGTACGTACAAAGGCAAAACTGTCGCGTCTGGGGTCCTGAAAACTCAAGGGCGATGGTTAAACAATTTCTCCAACCACAACAACTGACACTGACGCGAGGCTGACTGTATTACACGGCTACCTGTTTCCCTTACTAAATAATGTAAAGTTAATTTTCAGCAGAATGGCGCCACCTGCCGCACAGCCCGGACAACAATTGGTCTATTCGATCACTGATGACCGAAACGATGGCTTGAAAGATCCTGTGTGAGCACCTCTTTATTTCTCGAGCACATTCCATAGGGCATTACAAAGGATATTGAAAACTTCATTGGCCGCCATAAACGTACGGGAGCAGTTATCACAAACGTAATTCGATTTTTTCTCATATTTACTTAGAAGACACCGCAATGAATGGCATTTCAAATTAAACGATCAAATTTTCTTTAAACCTTTCTATCAAAACGTCAAAGAAGAGCAGTAAATTACGCCTAACCTCGACGTCCTTGTGATATCAGCTAGAATGCATTCGTTGCGATAGAGAAACTGCATAAGATACTGCAGTATTTTATATGTTATTACTTAACTTAAGAGTCAAATTTCAGTTATTAGAAAAATACCATAAGTTGTCAAAAGAAATAATAATTTTGTAGCCAGATGTGCAAGGAAGAAAGCGATCCATTATTACGAATTCTGCGAAGCAACCGTTTACTTGCGAATATTCCCAAGAAGTATTGACTTCGCATTCACGCGGTATATATACGCTTAGGTACAGGGTATGTTAAGTTTATGCTTGGTTTTAAGCTTGCTTGCTCGTTTGCTCGTCTATCTGCCTATACGCCTTTCCGCTTGCTGGTCTGTCCATCTCTCTGCCTATTTCTTTACAACCTCCAGGTCGCAATTGTCAAGATATTTGGACAAAACTTAGTGCGTTAGTGTGTTTTGGCCCACAGATAAAGTCTATTGAAAATGGAATGTACCGGACTATTTTTCCAATCATTGCCCGTATAACGTCTTATTTTACAAACTTTACAAATTTCCAAATATTTTTCCGTCCAAATCACTGAGTGATAGCATTTCAATAAAAAAACATAATGTGTAAAATTTGGATCGGATAGGCCAATTTTTCGAACCTCCTTCCCTCTAACCATACTTACGAAAAATAAATCTTTGGCCAAAAGTCAATATTTTATAATGAAAGCTTGTTCATATTATTATTTTGACACAAAAGTTAATTGCAGCAAACTTGGATCGCAGCTCAATTTGTTGTACCCCCTTAGGAAATGTTAACCCGTAATCGCAATCAAATCTAATATTTAATAGTTTAGCTGAAATATATCTATATAATAAGATCGTTGACTGAATAATTAATTGGGCTATATTTGAATCATGTCAATCCACATGTCAGTCCACAATATTACAAAAATCATTGAAGAATTTTCTTAGGCGAGATGGTCTACGATATTGAATGGTTAGTCTTGCCCGAATATAATTTTTCCACGCCTTCTTAAATTACTTTTATTTATTTTTATAATTTTATCAAAAATATATGATGAAATGAAAAGTTGTTGAATTAAACCTGGCTCTGCTGTGTTCAGAAGTTTATTGTAACAGTGAAGCAAAGAAATCATTGTACAATTGACATACAAAACTCTAACATCAGAGCTCTTACAATATTAGAGTGAACAAGCTAACGCATACAAAGTGATTAATTTACCAATTTACTAACAATACATAATATAACATAATATACATTTATATATATACATATATTATATTGCTTATGATACTTTTGCTTATATCGTTTTCGATATAATTCAATCGTTTTAGCTCAGCTAGTCTCTGTTATCTTTCAATCGGCCAATTCGATCTGGTATATTAAGGGTTGCTTTAGCCAACGGAATGATAGAGAAAGTCGTGATATCGTAATTCCCCAGTCGCTTCATATGGCAAAACTTCGCGTTCTATGTAATTAACATTGGTTTGACCCGAGGACTTATTGTCTGTTCAAGCACTTGTTCGATTCTTACGACATGATCTGTGGTAAGTGGTGCTTACTTCCGCGACTTCGGCACACAAATTCATTTGCTTTCAAAAGGCAACAACAACAACGTTCAGCTACCGAAAGATAATACTTTAAAAAGAAAGCTTTGTTACCCTTCTCTTCTAATAATAAACGTAATAAATGAATTTTATATTTCGGAAAAAAAACATAAATTATTTTTACATTATTTGTTTTGTTTGTTTATCGCTAATTAAAATCAATTCCTCACAAATAGATTTGTAATTTTTATGTTATAACGATTCCATAATAATTCCGTGATGAAAATTAATAGAACCAAAGTATAACCGACAAGCAACATAATAAACAACGAAGCTGTGTATTCTAGGCCGACATGAACAATCAAATTATTTGTTAAGCAATCTAAGTGGGTACGAACCCACTGACGACGATGCTTAGCATGCACGCCAGTTTCAATAATGCGAAGAATTCTGAAATCGCAAAGGAAAGAAAAGAACACAAATTTACATATCGAAGGTAAATAAAACTAACTTTAAACGAACAATTTCCCTGTAACTGGAGTTACGATGTAAATGTGTGACTAACTGTGTATCCGGTCGAAAGAGAACTTCGTTCAGATCACATATCTCGGAGGCTTCATATGTTCTCTCTATTAAATTGTAGCCGGTGGAAACTTCAAATACGAAAACAAATCCCGGCCTATTGCGCATTCTCATGATGCCCTCCTGAGCGGAGAACCAAAGATTGTTGGTATGAATTTTTGGAACAACTTTACGTTTAACAAAACGCTTCACTTCAGGTAGAGTTGAGGACTGTAATAAATAAAGACATTTGATATTAAAAAGAAATTTTTATGCAAAATTTTGCTTACATTTAAATAAGAGTAAGTAAAAGGCAGCGGCTCTAAGCCCACATCTAAGTTAGAGTCGGCCAAATCGCTCATGGTTTTTATATTCGATTTGACCGGCGAGCCCAATAGTATCGATACCACCACAGAAGTATAATAGTTTAGCATTATAAAACTGATCAACATTAAAGTTATGAAAACAAAACGTCCACCAATTGAACCGGGCAATAGATAACTGCTCTGGGCGCAAGCTGATCCAATAGATATAAGACAAGTTGTAAGAAACGATGGTATAAAAGTTGAATGTTTTCCCATTTTATAATATTCAACCAAAAATGTGAACCATAGAAGAAGAGCAGCCAAAGCTAATATAACGCCAAAGTATATCCATACTTTGGTGCTAAACGGCTCCACGAAAACACCACCTTTTATGCCAGAATTTCGCGGTGTACGAAACATGCACACCGATCTAAAGTCGCCGGTAGGAGCTATCGGTGTTATAAATTGAAAACGCAATGGCGTCATTACAAATGGCGCTGAAACCAAATCGACCGTATGATTCACTAAAGCGCCTATTGCCCCGCCAGTGTATTCTGCATCAGTCCATTTATCAAAATACTGCAATGAAAATCTAGAAAAGTTATTAAGAAATTATTCGAGCATAGAATTCACAATATATAATTGAAATCAAGATTTACTTGGTGTACAATGAATCTTGCAATAGTAGTAACACTTGAAAACCGAAACGTACTAAAGGATCAATATAAAAATCCCTTTGACTTGAAAGGAAAGCATTAATTTCAGAAGGCGGTGCCTTTAGATCGAAACGGGTAACCTAAAAAAATCAAAATCATTAAAATTTTGGTACAAAATGCATTTATTCCATAGAAACTTAACTACTACAGCTACTCGCATCATTGCATCGGGCAATCTTTCCCGATTACCATATAATGATCGCATATGCAAATTGCTAAGGTATTTGCACTTCAAACAGACCAAACTATTGCATTCAACTTCATAGTCAACTGTAATATTTAGGCTGCCACCAATCTGAAAGCCGTTATTATACACATCATAGACTATGAAAGATGTAGACGAGGGCTCTACGAACGTTGTCGTAATGTTCTTTATCACATAATTTACATCTGTGTCCACCGAGAGGTTGAGATGTTGAAAAGTATTTTGAAATGCCATTAATTCATTGCTGTCATCGTATATCAGCCAGTGATGATAATGATTGAATAAATTTAGATGACTAACCTACTTTTTCGATTAGACAACGATTTAAGTAAAAGGAAAAATGCGGTATGCATATAATTCAATACTCGCCCTCTTAATGAGTCGCTTCGAGTTATCACAATTGAAATCTAGAAACACACCGACTTTTGGTCTTTTAAACAAGAAATACCGATTAGCGATATTATGCAAATTTTCATCGGTCCTTATATCCACAAATTGCCCATAAATGTTTGGCGACGATGATAAATTATAAAACTTATAAACACCTACAGAAAAAAAGAAGACGAATGATAAATAATAATTATTTTCGGTAAAATTTTTCTTACTACTTAAGTTATTATAAATGATACTCCATTTCCCTAATACTGACTCTTTTCCTTTCCTTATACATTTCTATATCGGCTATACAACTTCCCTAACGGTTTGCATTTCCACCAAAAGTAACTCTAATGTTTTCATACCCACTATCAAGAAGGGATTTTTTTTCCTTTCACTATCGAGATCTCCTAATCTATACACTAATCTTCGTGGGATGGAAAACGGCCGAGCTTAGTTAAATTTATGACTTAGGCGTCTCTCAACTCGGACGAACGTCCGTTCGATTCCGTCTGTAATTGTTTGTTTTGAACATTTTATACATGCACTTCGATTTGAATTCTTCAGCGTCAACTTCTGACTCGATTTAAGCATGTCCGTCTGTCCTTCGATTTTTCTGTCTGTCTGTCTGTCTGTGGTAAGCACTCGCTTATGTCGCCCAATTGAAGATATCGGTTTCAAATCTGTCAAAAACATCTAGCACGTTGTTATTGACAATGATCCACTTTTCCCTAATTATCTCACTCATAAACTACAACAATTAAAATTTTTATATTTTATGGGAGATGATAAAACACTAGTAAAAAAACGAAAGGTATAAGAAAGGAAAAAGGAATTAGTGTTGTTATATGTGTTCGGCGGGAAAATGGAAATGTGAGGGTGAAGGGTGATAAAAACTATTGCAGGCAATTTATTCCCCAAGCGGACAGTGTGGTTGAAGGCGATGGGGTACGGCAGTGTCTTGTGCGTTGTACGGGCAACTTCAGGACGAATGGATGAGAGACAAATTATTTTATATATATTATTTACACAACAACCGATTTTTGTAAGATCATATACATGGGAAGAAGTTCAATGAATCGTCCTGTGCCATCCAAATATTCCGTACTATTTTGCATTAATCATTGTGGGAATATATTGCTGATTGCAATTTTATTTGTAGCGTAAAGATTTTTTTATGAATTCGATTTGTCCTTTTGAATGAATATCTCGAAAAGTTCCGATCAACAACTTCGCCACAAACACACATGGCCAGAAGTTAAACAGACCGATGGACGGATAGGCAAGCTTACATCATTTCCCAAAAATAATGCTAAAGCGATTAGAATGAACAATAAAAAATGGGACTTAACTGAAGTCCTCTTTGGCGTTGCACACATCCGCGCAAACGTAACGTATAAACCGCATTTTCTGTTAGATAGCAAATAGCTTACAGAATTTTTGATAATTGCAAATATATAAAATAAAAATTACTTACTTTCTTGACTCCAACAATGAAATATCATAAGATATGATAATTTCGATTTCAAGAGATTAAATAATATGAGACGCATTAAATGTTTTATTAACATTTTTTTTTTGCATTTTCCATTTGCGTTCTTCCCACGAGTACGAGTTACTTTAAAAAAGTTTCGTCAACAACATGTAACAGAGCAAAGCGACATTTTTGTTAAGCCATGAGATATTTATATATATTTGCAAGTGAAAGATTAAATAATTTAATGAAATTTGTATTTAACAAGTTAATAGAGCGCTTTAAAGTAAGTGACATTATGATGACATTTTGAATGCTTTTGTTTTTTTTTTATTTAGTTAAAACTTGCAAAGTAAGTAATTGGAAGCAAATGTTCCTTTCAATAGTCTATTAAACTTTCATTAAGCTTAAATGGTTGCTTAACACATTAATCATCGCAAACATTTCAGTCAAAAAATTTAACGGGCTTTTCATCTCGCATTTACGTAGATATAGTGAACTGTTACAAACAGGTAACAACTTGTTGAAGGTATTCATAATTATGGCAAATATTGTTGTTTCTCGTTTCTTTCGTTCATTTTCATTTTCATTTTTTTCTTTTTTTTCTTTTTTTTTTCTTTTTCATATTATAATTTGTTGCCCAACGTCTGCGCAATGCAAACCAGAAAATATATTCCCGCTAAAAACGATTTTCATTCATGTCTTCATTTTAATGAATGAATTTAATTTTACCACAAATACATGTGTAATAGTTGTGCGGTATAATACACTGTTTTGTTGTTGCTGTCTGTCTGTCTAGATGCTACGCTAAACCAGCCATAAATATTTATCTGCTTTTAGGGGCGTAACAATAACTGCAAATATTCAGTTATCAAGGCGCTTTTGGCGCGTACGTTTGGATCTCATTCTCCACGAAGAAAAAATTTTTATTTATTTTTTCATTTTTTCATTTTCTCTCAACGACTCTAAACAAAGAAAAAACAAGTCAAAAGACATTAAATTTACTAAAAGCAAATGAATGATTTAAAAAGTGTTTGAAAAAAAAACAAATTGTGTTTTAAAAAAAAAAAAAGAAAACAAAAATCCTTCCTTGTAATGCAATCATTTTCGAAGTTCTGTAATTAAATGAAACAATTATAAACAATTTCAAGTACGCTTTCAAATATGTATTTATCCCCAAGATTATGCTTTAATTATTTAGACTCCTGCATAAAAACAAATAAATGAACTCTTAATTATATTTAAATATTCACCACAACATTAACCTCAAAAACAATGTTCTTCAACAATGTTCTTCCGCTCTCGTCTTGGAAGTCTTGATTGAAAACTAATTGATAAACAGACTATTAACTATAAGTTAGCGCGAACCCATTTGAATGCATTTATTTAGCAATCAGAGCTGAAGAGCATTCAAAACGTAATATCCGTCAACTCAAAAGAACAGCTTTTACCAAAAAAAAAAAAAAAACAGAGAGAGCAGAAACTTAATACACGCCTTGAATGGTATTCCATATTAGGTATCCTGGAAAAAAAATTCATGCAAAATTTGATTGCGTTCGATTTCCAAAACCTTCATTTGAGAATCATACGGACTTTCATTTACACTTTAGTCTTCTTCTTTCTCAGCAATGAAATATTTCCGATGTTTACAAGAGATCCGCTTAAAAATACAATAATTTTTTTTAATCCTTAGGCACATAGGTGATGGCAAATAAACGCAGTTTCCAATATCCAAGTTTTGCAAGGTAATATAATTTAACGAGTTTTCACAAAATCCTCTTAAGTTTTGAAATCTAGTTGGGATTTTGCAAAAACTACTACCAATAACCATAATTTAAGTGGAACAATGTAATTTATATGAAACGCGCTGTTTGGTTACGCTATGTTAATCAATGAACCCATTCATTTCATTTGAGGCGGTCGCTCAATACCTTTTCACTTGATCATATATATATATATATTGAAAGTGTCCGTCCGCTTTTTGCACGACTACAATGTTAAGCTGAAAACTACAATATGCCAGCATTGAAAGCAATCCACATAAAATAAGTATTGCAGCCGCGAAAACCATTCAATAGACAGATCCAACTCTATATATGCGGACAAGAATATTCACATATGTTGGCGAAGAACGTCTATACACATAATAGTGAACGGTGTATATAGTGGGTATCAAAAATTCGCCATTAATTAAATCTAGTTTCATTTTTGCATCATTTCATCTTTAACCTGTCATTTGGCGTACTTCGCATAATATTCGTTATGAGAAATCTCACTAAAAATTCACTCTTGAAATTTACAAATGAATTCATCAAGAATGTGATGCAATAGTGCAGAAAATGTAGATTCTTAAAAATTCTCTTTTAAAGTAAAACAAGCCATAAACACATGAGAAGATCTGCATGACTGCTCATAAAAAGCTTTGCATTTAAATTAATTGTACTTTGTTCTATAATTTACATCTTTGGACATTCTAGCTATTCCCTTTTCCTTTTCCAGTACTAACAGTGAGACTTTTAATATAATTACATAGGGGGCTTGTCGCAAAATCACAAATCACAAATCGCAAATCAAATTACAATTTAGCATTTATTTTTTATATTTTATTTTTTTAAATAAATATACATGTATGTAGAGATAATCTTGTTAAGTAATTTAGTTGTAAACCAAGCCGTCCTTAAAACGAACCGGCCGGACAACAGATTAAAAAAATGTTAAATTCAAACTCCTTAGCGTAGGCAGTCTTTTCTATAAAGGAAAGGCAAAAAAAAAAAAAAATCCTTTGAATTTATACAATAATAATGAAAAACAAAAGAAATATACTACGATGACATTCGCCTTCAATTAAACAAAAAATAAAATAAAGAGTAAAAAATAAAAAGTAAAAAATAAAAAGAAATATAAGAAAAACCAGAAATCTCTACACTTATATTTTTTCACAAGTTCATAATGCAGATGCTCTTTTATGCTTTCATTATTATTACTTTGCCCTTTCTATATCCTTAAAACATAACCTCAATTTTATATTACTAAAATCATAAAAGTTAATAAATTTCTACATTTTTTCAACCACATTTTTTTTTTTTGCTTTGTTACTTACTACTCATATGTAATATGGTAAACGTGCTTAAGTTGAATTTATTTAATATACTTTGACAAGCATTTTTTCCTTTCCACTATTATCATATAATCAGATTCTAATTGTTTTGGTTATAGTTAGCAATTCATCCTTCAATACTTCCGTGCATTTTATTATACATTGAATTCGAAAGTATTCTTCACTTTACACCATAAGTTTGAAATCAAAATTTAAAAATTAATAAAGAAAAACGCATTACTAGAAAATCTTATTTACCAAAAGGTAAAACATTTCTTTTCTTTCTTTCTTTCTTTCTTTCTTTCTTACTTTCTTTCTCATCGTTTAAGCTTAGCTAAGGTCAACGGCCTTCCGTTTTAGGTATCCAAACAAGCTTTTCTCACTTAACTTGACCACAAATTACGATAAACGGCGATGTTACGATTCATTATATTTCCTTCCTCACCTAGAAAGACGTACCTGCACTCTTCTGTGTACTCTTCTCCATTTATACATTTTAGAATTGACAAAATGAGTATAAGCACGCTCAGCAATTTATTTATCCATTTCTGATTACAATAGACATCCGGACGAGTTAAGCAAAATTATTAAAGAAAATGGAAAAGACTACGAGATTATCGCGAAGATCGTCGATCAAAAGCCCAGGATAGTTTAAAGTAAACAACTTAAATCCGAAGTAAACATTTTTTCTTTACAATATATTTTAGGCTTAAAGTACTAGGGATTGGGACTGCAACATTATAGCGAAGAATATATTAATCAGAAGGGAACAGCAAGTAAACAGCATACGATATTATTTTTAGGCATAATATATTAAAAAGCAAACGTAAGCCTACTATATCTAGCTCCTTATAGAGGATATTGGTCTGCCGCACTGAGATTCGCGATCCGCGACCACCGACTTGACTGTCAGACAATTTGAAATAATTTAAAATTGATGAGATTTTTGTTCTTGCTTTAAATAATGATATTCAAGATTTAGCAGCAACTAATGTGCTTGCTCACACTCGCTAGTTAGGCTAGTTGGATTAGTTAGGCTTGCTGGAGAGCATTACTCATTACCCAGGTCGTGCCAAGAAAAAAGTAATGTTCGTAAGACATAAAATAAACCAAGTTACACTTCCTAAGTTGTCCTTAGATCTGTAATGCGACCTTCTCCTCTTGATTATCTTAATTCACTAATAAAATTTGCGTAAGACAGTTAGCTACATTTGGCAAATCATCCTCAAATGGTGTAAACTAGGTTTGGCGATATTTTTCGATAATTGATCAATCATTTGTAATTTTACTTACCTTTATTAGTGAGCATAAACAGCGGAACTGATGTAGCTATGTCTGATAGTTAGCCCAATCAATAATCTCAAAACGTAAAGGAGAAGATTTGTTTAATAATTGATAAAATTAGTTAATTTTGCCGGGCCCCTTAAAATTGTCAAAAAATAATAATAAATTTTCCGCTTTGTCCATTTGTACGCCTCGAAATTGCACAACTTTCTGTGTAGCACGTTCGGCATTTACTTCAACATACATGCGGGTCAAGATCGAAAACCAGGTAAATTGCACCAAAAGTTCGCCAACATTTATAATTAAGGTGGTTTATGTAAGCATGATCTTTATCTCACACAACTACCTGTACCTGTTTGTTTATTATTTTTGAGGGGCTGAACGACTGTGTCAGCTTTAAAAAGAATTCATAATACTTTAAGCAATTGTGATTCAAGAACACGGTGAACGGAACTTTTACTTTCAATCGAAAGACTCCTAGACTTTCTGGAAAAATTGAACTACACCCTAATTTTGGCATATTTAATTGCCACTCTTAGCTTTCTGATCATTTCTACGATGTTACCCTTCATCGCTTCTAATACCTTCATGAAGTTTTTGTAAACGTTTATAAGTCTTTCTCTCTCTAAACGCTCACTAATCATAGAAGAATTGTTTAACTTTTACTTAAATAAAATTATCCGAAAGTAAACAAAACGCAGCCATATCCGATATGGCTGCCAGTTCTACCATGAATTAGTATGTCAAGTGCAGGCGAATAATAAAAATTAAAGGAACTGTTGCATTCGTCGAAATTTGAATATCCCCGATCTTTTGCGATCAAGCGATCTAATTCATAACGGACTCGTCGTTTGCTTCATTCTTCCAAGAGTTTCGAGAATTTATTCAAAGACAAATTGCATTTTTGATCGCTAAAGACTATCGGCAAACTATTAATCGGCAAATCGTTGATTGTCCCGCCATACGTCTTTCCTTAGAAGCAATTACATTCGCAATTCTCTTCCATATTCTTTCTTCTCTCTCTTCTTTTACTATCTACTATGTACTATATACTATGCTTATGTTATTTATTTTATTTCAGTTATTTTGTTTATATTATCGTCTTTTTTTTTTTTCAATAATTTTTTTTATTTTTGCCCCGAAAACAAATTGAAAATGTTATTAGTTTTCTAAGTAAATATGATTTATATAAAAAAAAAATAAAAAAAAATAGAAAAAAATTCTCTTTATTTCAAGGGTGTAGTGTGCCATGCTTTTGAACTGACTATTGCACACAGAATTGTAGCATACTTTTAGATATTTTTACTAAAATTTATGCATTTTGCATTTTTATTTGAATCACAGAGTAGAGAAAGAACTATTTGTAAGATAAATAAAACTACTGTTCATGGAGAACATTGCGAACAATTCCTAAGCTGTTATATAAAGTAAAATTGCGCGTTGCCATATATATATATATATATATAGTATATATATATTAGTATATATATACATGTAAATATATACATATTTACATTTGTGCTAAAAACAAAAACGAGAACTAGTTATTTTAAGAGAAATCTTTTTTTTTTTTCGCAATTCTTAAGCTTAACCTTAACAAAAGGATTATGGTGCAAAGGTGGAAAATCAACAAAAAAAAAAACAAAAAAAAAAACAAAAAAAAAACAAGAAGAAAAAAGCGGTACTTCGTCTAGTAGAAAATGTTAAAATGATTTGTTACAAAAGAATCATTAGTGCGTAAGTTATAATTAGCTAGCGAGTCATAAGACTTTGCTTATATTTAATGCTAGAAAAAAAAACTTTTTAAAAAAATTCTAATATAAAATAAATTATAAAAAATCAAAACGGGGGTCGCATTTTTTTTTTTTTTTTTTTTTTGATTTCTTGCTGCCTACAACTAACTATAGTGCTTTAAATGAGCATTAAATTAATTTTGAATTAAGAAAGAAACGAGACCATTGCTTAAAGACAGTTTCGTTTTGTTTTTATTTATTAAAGCGAAGAAAACAAACAAAAGAAAGTTAATGAAGACAAAGCAAGAAACTGCATCTGAACGGAGACCAAGAAGATAGCGTCATTGTGCAAGCAAAACTCTTAAGAAACGTCAACAATATCACCAGCAAATTAAGTCTAACGTAAAGAATAGGAACCACTTGTCAACTGCAGGGAATAACTGAAGCGTTACCCAATCTATACATACATACAAGCAATTTACCGCAACATCAACATCTATGCATATTAAGAAACATTAGTTAAGGAAGGCTGTGATTATGCCAGTCTTAACGTTAAAATATTTAGAACCTATAGTTGGGGCGTTGCCTCGCACAGATTATAAGATGACTATGGGCTCATGCACCGTAAACCATGTAATATCGTTAAGCAGTATACTTTATTTACGATCTCGTTGGTGGTTTTGGTTAAACCGTTATTGGTCTTGTTGGATTTGGATTTTAATATCAGTCCACGTAGTAATGGCAGCCGGTTATCCTCATTTACGCTTAACGCAACGCAATAATCACGCCAATATATCTGAGCTATTAGATAATCTGCTTAGAGGCTATGACAACAGTATAAGGCCTGATTTTGGCGGTAAGTAAAGAATAGAAAAAGAAAAATAATAACAATAATAATAATAATAATAATAATAATAATAATAAAACTGTACACTTAAAAAGCTCTTAAGCAAATTGTTTTCAATAAGTCTTTTTTATTCAAAAAACTTACAATTTCACTCAAATTGTTTCCTTTTTCTCGCCTCTAAGACGCATTGTTATCCTTATAAACTGCAATAATCAAATTTGGAATGAAGAACTTATCCTAATCATCGCTTAATGACTACTTACACGCCGTTGTCTGTGTCTCCCCATTTTATAATCCATTGAACACTTCACTAGCTAGCTTTAGCTGATGTATAATGAAGTACAATTTTATAAATTGAAATGCGAAAACTTTATTTAACTTGAAGCGAATTAAATGACTACTTACAGTCTTCCATTTTCCACATTTTTGTGTTTTTTTAAGTGACTCCCTGCCCGTATATCGGCCGCTAGTCGAGAAGTAAAATAAACATATTTAAAAAGCTTTTTTATGGAGAATGCGGTTATATTTATCTGATGGAGTTTTAAGATATTTACCGATTAAGTGTCACTTCTTTGCATCTTTTCCAGTTAGCTTAGTATATTATAATTTTCATTTCGCATGGAAAGAAGAATTGACTATAAAAGTCTCAACTCTGGACCGATTTCATTTTTGTCATTTCGGTATAGTTTTGCGAAAATATTCACTGCGTTAAAGAGAATACGTTGCAATAAAGGGGAAAGGATTAAGCAAAAAAAATTTCAAACTACTTAAGTCGCTGTAATCTTTCCGAATAATGCGAATAATTCTCCTTTTATTTTGATCATAAAGAAACTATGTATATAAAGATATTTATAGTTTTGTTCTTATCCCAAAAAAATGTAGGCCTCATAAAGCAAAGAAGAAGTAGATAAATAAATGATTTATCCATGTCACGTGTTCTCTCAGTCCTCTCCGTACTAATTATTTCATTTATTTAATGTTTTCTTAATGATTTCATAGAAAGCAAATGCAAAGAAGGAATAGATGTCTATATCATTTTTAAAGCTGATGAACGACGATTGTTACCTCCTTTCCTAAAGGATATGAGAAATTTTATATAACACTTATTATCACGTAGTGTGTCGGAAAGGAAGAGAGAAATACATTCAATTTTTATGTGAATACGTTAAACACTTGATTAGATTCACTCATGCAATTTGGCTGTAGCTCAAAAAAAAATTTTTTTTTTTTAAGTCATTTCCTTGAGCACAGGGTATAGATAGATATTTGCATATCTAACACACTCATAGATATACATATAACGTGGCGTATACTTCATTATATTTGTAGCATCCTCTCAAGGCAACAAACTCATTATAAACTGTAAATTCGGCAAAATGTTAATCGGGAAATATAAAATGTTCATAAAAATCAAACTTAAGCTTAAAGAAAAATAATCCCTTAGAGAATTTTCTCTTTTTTTTTTTTTTTTTTTTTGTTTTTTTTTGTTTTTGTTTTTTCTCTTAAACTTCTACAAAAATTTTATATTGAAATCTCAAAAATAATTCATCTATGCAGGGCCTCCTGCTACTGTTGAAGTGGATATAATGGTGCGCAGCATGGGTCCCATCTCCGAGGTTGACATGGTGGGTGGAATGATTTTCGTTACTCGTTCCAGTGTACAGCATTTGACTTTCTTGACTTGCCATTGCAGACCTACTCAATGGATTGTTATTTTCGTCAATCTTGGGTAGACAAACGGTTGGCGTTTAAAGGCGCTCAAGACACTTTAGCTTTAAGTGTCTCAATGTTGGCCCGGATCTGGAAACCGGATACATATTTTTATAATGGCAAGCAAAGCTATTTACACACGATAACCACACCCAATAAGTTTGTAAGAATTTATCAAAACGGTCGCGTCCTATATTCAAGTAGGTGAGTATGTGAATAATAAACAAAAACTCAAACTACATACCTCAAACAAACTACATAAAATGCTTAGTCCAAGTCCATATCGATAAGTTTCGATCGAAAATTTCACTATGAAAATGTTACACTTTTCATATGGAAAAAGCAGTGATTCACTTGTAATGCAAAACAAAAGAAAAAAGAATTCGAGACTTCTTGTATGTTTACTTTACAAGGCCAGCATCCAAAGTCGAAAAGAGGTTGTCAATGGGTTCGTTTTCTTCATACCGTTCATCCATGTATGCGCTATCTCATGTGCGTAGTTATATCGCATTAGAAAATAATAATCGTCTTGGACCGAATCTTGTATACTGTTCATTTTAGCATCAACCTCTTCGCATCGGTTTTATTTCAAATTTTTACAAAAGTCCAGTAAAATTTGAAGGGAAAATTTTTGCTCATTAACGTAAATCATTGAATTTGACAATGATAAGCATATTCGGAAAAGAAACATAACCATTTTGAAAGCACGCTCTTGCCGCTGTGCAGTGATGGGAACTGAAATACCCGATAGAGTATTCATTTGAAATATTATCCTCCTCAATAGATTGCTTTCGCAACCATTACTATTGTATAGTGGAGCGAATTCGATTGAGTTATCGATAAAGTTGAAAATTTGAAAAGTAAGAAATGATAAATTTCTTCTTCTTCTATAATAGTTGTTTATTTACGAATATCGATTCCATATTCAATACAGATATCCGACAGGGTCGCGATTTTCAATTTACTTATAGAAACCCACTGCTCATAACCATGAAAGCTTTAGCATTTATTTCAAGCTTAAAAAATAACTCTTACATCGCCGACAAGCGATGTTTCTGACAAGGTTATATCGGTGGTGAAGGTATATTTCCTTTTTCAGATTAACCATCAAAGCTGGTTGTCCTATGAATTTAGAAGATTTTCCAATGGATATTCAAAAATGTCCTTTAAAATTTGGCTCATGTAAGTAAATTTTACACAATTTCCTAATCTTTTATATATATGTAAGATACAAATATCATAATGAACTCAATTACCTCATACAGCGACCTCATTATTTATTTGAGTGTATTAAATACTTCTAAAGCAAACTAAAATCTCGTCTTAAACTTTTATTCTGTAATGTACATTAGAACTGTTAGCAATGATATCAGCCTCACTTGTCCTTACACAATATGCATATATATATACATACACATATATTATATATATATATATATACATATATATATATATATATATATATATATAATGTAAATGTACATGCATTTAATCTTTATGAGCCCTAAAAACTCTTCTATGACTATAAAGTTGTTGCATTGTAGAAAATTAAATAGAGAGAGAAGGTTGTATGTAATGCCCTTTTTGCATTTGAGTTTACCCGCATCTCTCCATAAACTTATGGTTTAAACATGAACAAATAAATATGAAGATGTTGCTAACAAGTCATTTAAGCGAAAAAAGCCACAATGTACCCATAATGAGTGAACATTTAAAAAATCGCATTTTAAGCGTTAAGCATTAAGCACATTTACATATAAATATTGTCTGCAAAATGCTGCTGTTCTACACACATGAAGATTTATTTTCCTCAAAAAAAAAATAAAAAAATAAAACCAGTAGGCAATGAAAATTATTAATAACCCAGCCTAAGGATATGCTATTACTTTTGTATGTTAATATTAATGGCTCCGCAAAAAAAAGCTTGTACGCACTTACTTACTACTGATTTTGTGTTTTTTTTTTTTTCTTCTTCTTTTGATAAAAAATTGATTTCCTGCATATATACGCTAAATAGTTAGGGTACTCTTCTATCTTCATATGCCTGATCGCTTATTTAACTTTGCCAGGTTACCGAATGTAACGTAAATTGAAACGAGACAAAAAAATCCGAGCAAATATATGTTAAAGAAATGTTGATTGTAATTTTCATTCTTAATGTGCTTAAGTTCGCGCATATAGAGAGAAAAATCACCGAGCAATTTATGGAAAACATCTCTTCTTTTTTTTTCGTGTTGCGGAACACGTGTTTTATTATATAATACATTTATGCTCGAATGTCTGCACCTTAAATTTAAATTTAAAAAAAAGAGGGGAACATTTCTGAACATTGCTTTCTATAAACTTTAATCTGCGCGATATAAAATAAGAAATTTATTTATACGCCTCGTAGAGAATACTTCATATCTATCACTTTAATTACATAAAAAAAAAATTTCAAAATATCTTACAATGTGTGGTTAAGCTATTTAACCAATCGGAATTATTTCAGAAGCCTTTATTTAATTCGTTTTTCCGTTACGGCGGAAATCGGGAATCGATATTCCGGGCGCTCCCGTATATCCCATCATGCTGAAATTTTGCACATCCCTTAATTCTGACTACAATGTAATGTAGTGCAGTTGATTTTTCTGTACGTACAAAAATAGTCGCCGCCATAAGATATGTCTGGCCGGAAACTGTCAATTCACATTTCGAACACAGGCTGGAAACTGTCAATTTCGCACAGTTCCATGTATTCAAACATGCTGGAATCGTGCACGCGCCTTTGATTCCGAAGATATTCAAAGTTATCAAAATTATCTTTTTCTTAAGAATCTATTTGATATGAGTTGTAAACTAAAAATTAACCGACTGTACCTTATCCGATTATATTCACTAACTTTATATTAAGTTGGGAAATCATTCTATATTTGTCAGTTAAAAAATGGGGAAAACATCTTTACTTGAAAAAATATTTTCTTTGAAACTTCGGGCTTTTTCACGGAGCGCTCCGAAAAGACTTCTTATGCGAAAAGGATCCCGGCTAATAAGTTACAGCCCAATGCTTTACCTACCTGCCCATGTTTGATAGACTAACAGATGCTTTTCGAAAGAGGTCGCGTAGCTGAGTCGAGAAGAGGGGTGACGACGAGGTAGGTGCTGCGTGGATTCAAATCTTAGTGCGGTTTTTAACCATGACCGTAACTGCAATGAGATATGTCGTATCGATAACGGCAGAGCACAAAAAGGCGATTGGCTGCACTAGACTACGGGCACCCCTAACTTTTTCTCTGTTTCCCTACTTTTTTCTGACAAAAAAAGAAATATAAACAAAAATGTCTTAGTGCAGCTGGATAAAGACAAGATAACAAGGCCAAGGTTTCTGTGACGGAATCAAAAGTTTGAGATACCGTTTTATCTTTAATTGCGATTTCAGCTACAAAATGATACAATTACTGCTTCCATTCTGTCTTCGGCAGATGCAGCAAAAGACTTTTCCTCAAGCATGAAATCTTAGAAAAGAAAGAGCAAGAGTACGTAAATGTGAAAAAGCATTTTGATGATCCTGGCTATGCAAACAATAGAGAAACAAGTGAGAAAATTTTATTCGACTGTGGACGAATCTTACATACCCACCACCATTAAAATCATTAGCGCCCATGCTTTTATTTATGTGCTATTGTTTTTATGTGTGTTAAAAGTGAATGAAATAAAATTAACCTTTCATCTTTTCAAATTAATTCCCCACGTCGGGACGTCCACCATAATTAATTAGGAAGTAACACACCTAGCTTGTTGCATTCTAGTTTCTAAGTCCCAGTTGACATGACTTGTATCCAATGCTAAGTATTGTAGCAAAAAAATTAATCCACTAGCTCGTGACGCCCACCATAATTAATTTAGAATTGACAAACTTATCTTGTTGGCTCTGCGAGACCTTTTATTTAATACCCATATCGCTGGTCGGGTCTCTACTATATTCATTTTAGAATTTTGTGTGCGCATGGCTGACTTTTTTCCGTTTTTGCACGTAAAGGCTAGAACGCTTCATAAAGTAAATGTAGAAAATTCCAGCCGAATTCTATCTAGGAAAAATTCATAATTTTTTGCTTAAAGAAACGGATTTGAGTTCACTTCACACATTGCTGCGGGCGTGCACTCTAACCAATTTGACCCATTTTCAGTACCAAACTGCGCGCAGAAACTTTCAAAGTGTCTACCTAATTTGAAGCCGATATTTTCATTTTGGCGACCAAGGCACAGACACATAGACACATGGACGCACAAACAATTTAAGGCTGGTCAAGAATGTATGCACTTTATAGAGCCTCTGAAGCTTCGGTTTGAATTTTAGAAGCATTATAACAAAATGTTCAAATGTTCAAAATGAGAAGGGAGCATACGTCCAATAATTTTTTTAATTCGTATGACATGTACGCTATGTATGATATTTTCGTTAAGTTAATTTAAACACCTTTATACCTCACATCATTTATGCGATGGAGGATACCTTCAGTTCAGTTGTGGCGACGCAGGGGAACTTAAGATAGATCCTTCTTTAATTATACCGACCATTTTCAAAATCATTTCTTAAATCGAATGCTGAATGTGATTCGGAAAAATTACCTTATCATAGCATTTGGCTTTTAGAAACAGTTCGGCCTAATCAACTCAACTGCATCATTATTGATTGATATTTAACATTTTTTTGATAGTTTCGTAGCTACTCAAAATGTAGTACACGTGGCTAAATTGCCCACATGAGGACGTCGATGATATGCAACTTTTCATCACGGTTCCTTGGATATTAAATAATTTATCATCAGCCATTCCATTCTAGCCATTCAAAATAAATACGAAAGGCCTTTTAGTGTATTGCTCGCCTTACACGATATTATCTAATACGATATATGTAAAATAGAAGAATATGTTTTCTTAAAGTTTAACTTTTCATTAATTGCATTTATCTCATCGACACTTCACTTGGCTTTTTACACTCTTGGTGTTGTTACCATCCATCCGCGACTTACTTTCAGTTGGATATACAACAACGGATGTTGTTTATCGATGGAATAAAGAAAGGCCAGCGGTAGCCATCGCTGAGGATATGAAATTGTCACAATTCGATTTAGTTGACTGTCCGGCGGGCAATCTAACGGATGTTGTTTATAAAGCAGCGGCACCCATCTATCATAGCAACAATAATATCAACTACCATAAGAGCAATAATAACAACAATAATAATAATAATAATAATAATAATAACAATGATTACGACGCAGATCAATCCATCTCTGATAATGATAAATATAGCAAAGCATTGACAACATTTGCAGGACCAGCGGCAAAAAATCAACATATCCAGACAGCAAAATTCCAGTTGGATAAGATAGCCCATGGCAGGGGGGAACGTAAAACGAATATTATACAAATTGAAGTAATGCAAGCATGTAAGTGACAAAATCCTATACAATCATAAATCATTTTTATATGCATTCTTACGTACGCCACATATTTGTATGAAGCTAACTTTACTACTCCTTCGCTCACCCGGATATAATTAATTTAATTTAAGAGTAATTTAGCAAACTCAGTTTTGTGTAATTGTTCAGTGTGTTTTTTGCTTTAGTTGAATATTTAGTAAATTTCGTATGACATTCAATGATTACAAGTTTTTAGTTCAATTAAGGTCATTACTCAATATCGATCTATGCACCGATATATGATGCATGTGCTTGTGTCTATGTCAAATGCTATAACGCAATGTCGAATGTAATCATTTTGTCATGTGTCCGGTAAAATGCTTTGAATTGGGTGTGAGCGTTTGTATGCACAACTACGTATTGTAGAGCATCAAGTCAATTTGTCAATTAGTTAAATTGCAATTATGACAACATTTTACAACATAATAATCGATAACCGACAAGAATGCAAGAAACGCTTGCACACTTCGAAGAACGAAACCTAAGAAGTTTAATCCTCTACAACCAAATATCATTTCTTTAAAAAATCTTTTCAATACATATTTTCGTAAATTGCAAGCACATTCATTACGATATTTATAATATTTTCTGAATCGAGACTTTTTCAAGCTAGTCGCCGATAGCTATTGCATGCACATTCCACAAAAAAAAATGGATCGAAACCATTCGCCGTAAAGTTTGCGACATTGCATCTTTCACCGTAAGGACTGACGTGCAATGGCAATCTATATCTCACCCATAGTTAGCTCAAAAAGAGTGCCAGATGAATTGAGTTTTATCAAGCGCCGTACCTATCTCGTAAAAAGTGTTTTGCATTCAATTTTGCGTGCAAAGCATTAAACATAAATCTCTATGAAATGTTTACGGTCACAGCTAATTTACGTACTTTCGGTTTTGACTCGTCTGATATCACTCAGCCTTGATCATTTCAATGATGATTTGACGTTGTAGCCCAATCTTGGCAACACGAACGGTGTCCATCATCAGTGCACGTACACGGTAGTAGACCAATTCAATGATTCAATGATTGGTAAAATTTTCTAAAATTTTTGAAAGAATATATTTATGCGGACTACTCGATTTCAGAAATAAACATTACACCATTGAGCAAAAATTATTGCGATGATGTGAAACGCCTTCGGTAAACTTCAGAATGACGGACTGTTACGTAAACTTAAGAAATTTCCTCCAACTCGAATGTACTTGCTACTTACATCCTATTTGCAAAACACACACATTTCGCTGTTAAATTGGGAAACGATAGATCCAACAGATGCAAAATTAAAGGACGAGCGTCCTCGGGATGTGCTTTCAGTCCAAAACTCTGTATAATTTTCGGCTCCAATTTTTCGATCGTTCACAATCTTTTAACTGCGAAATATGCAGATGACACACCAATGCCACCTTCACCTAGTGAACTCATGAATCTTTCCTACGAACTACAAATTGACATAAACAAAATTTCACTTTGTCTTCATAAATCGATTATTAGAACAGATGCTAAATAACGTACGCAAGATCACTTGTCCTTCGGAATTTTTAGATGATAATAATATGTAATGGAATTGTGGGGAAGAGCCAATATCCAGTAATGTTGAAATACTTGAAAAATATCAATCTAAGACTTCATCTTATTATTAATGCTCCGCGGTTCGTTAGCAACAAAACTATTCATGATGACTTGGCTTTTCCGTTTGTCAAAAATCGAATTCGACGCCTTCCTTCCCCGTTGAGTAATCACGTAATTTTTTTTGGCCATATCTCTTGATTGAAAAGGTATCATATACTCGATCTTCCGGCCTGAGATTAGTTCACTTTTGTTCATTAAATTCTCTCGCTCTCGCTTTCTCTCTATGTCTCTCTTTCTCTCCTTCTCTCCCTCTCTTGAGTAAATGCACGTTCCATGTTCGAAGTAGATGGACAGACCTAAAATGATTTCACCGTTCGATTTGCAATGGGTATTATAAGTGATATTATAAGCGATATATGTTATGAGTCATACAAAAAGTCTTTGAGGTTTTTTCCGCGGTTTGAAGGTCCTTTTTGTAGCCTGCTCTTTTCAAATGATTCCAAACTGTCATGTGAATGATGTTTAGTAACTCCCCTATTCCTGACAGGTTAAGTGTCGGTCTTTCTCCACCAGTTGCAAAGTTTCATCGATTTTTTCGACCAGATCAATGTGCAGCTTTGACATCGAAATTTCCGGAACGGAAATCGCACCTGGATCCTTCGTTCACTCATAGCATTCTCACCGTAGACTTCACAAATTTTCCGGCATGTTTTACCTTTTTTATGGTAAAAAAGCATCACATAACTTATTTCTTCAGATATTTCACCCATTTCCAAATCAATTCAATGTAACTTTCTGCACGAGCATAGAATTAGAAAACTATCTTCACAAAAAATGTAAGCTGAAAGCTTTTAAGCACTTGTTCGTTTAAGATAATCAGGTAAAAGTTGCCCGATATCCCAAAGAAAAAACCGCAAAGACTTTTTATATGAACTAATAATAATATTTTGATTAAATTATGCATATATAAAATAAGAAAGTTATATTCGGCGGGGCTGAATCTCGCATATGCACCGCTATGCTTTTCCAATTCTACTCTCCAAGTTCTTTTATTTGATTCTCATATCGCTGGTATTATTAAGAAAAACTTATCTTCTACGTCGCGGTCTCTATCGTATGCCTTTTAGAGTTAACCGAGACATGGCTAAATTAATTTAGAATTGCACGCTCTGAAGCTTACTTTGGGGCGTGACACACATTATAAAAAAAAAAAAATAGTACACCCCCGTCTTACAGTGGTGGGTATAATAAATTTTCATCATATATTTATTATACATTTACTAAGTAAATTAATTTTTGTTATTCTATATTCTTAATTTGTTTTCAGCTGAATATTCCATGTTAATGGTTAACTTTCATTTACAACGTCATATGGGAAACTTTCTTATACAAGTTTATGGTCCGTGTTGCCTTTTGGTCGTTTTGTCTTGGGTTTCATTTTGGCTTAATCGCGAAGCTACAGCAGATCGTGTTTCTCTCGGCATCACTACCGTATTAACCATGACATTTTTGGGCTTAGAAGCACGAACCGATTTACCTAAAGTTCCTTATCCTACCGCTTTAGATTTTTTTGTTTTTCTATCTTTCGCTTTTATTTTCGCTACCATTTTGCAATTCGCTGTAGTACACTACTTCACTAAATACGGTTCGGGTGAATGTTACTTCATAATTGAAGAATTAGAATCCGATACGGAATCAGAAGGTGGCGGTGAAAATTTAACAAAGACAAGTTTAGAAGCTGAATATGCTAACAGTGTAGCGTATGAAGTGATACCGTTGACGATGTGCACGATAGCGATACCGAATCGTAGAAACTCTCTAAGAAACCGTCGAAGTTCAGAAGGTAAGAGGCGACGTCAAAGTCATAGTTTAATGTACAGCCTAAAAGAATATTTTTCGTGGTCGTGTTTCAAAAGTAAACGAACAAGACAACGAACACAATTGAGCATGTCCGACGACGATGACGAAGAAGCTCATTTAAAAGATAATGAAGGTGAGTTTGCAAACTCTCAACGAGAAAGATATTAACGGTATGTCGTATATCTTTCGCATATAGATCACGCAAACAAACGGAATCAACGACGCCGCATGTCCTATTATCGTCGAGAGGAAATGGAGATGCGTCGCAAAGGGAAACGTACACCGCAATACAACTCCGTTTCAAAAATCGATCGTGCCTCACGCATAGTATTTCCCATATTGTTTTTCATAATCAATGTATTCTATTGGTATGCATATCTATCGCGCAGTTCACGCATCCTGGCCCATGGTAACGACAACACCTGATGTTTCCTTTTAGCAATTTAGATCACTATCACAGAAATCGTTTTGAAATTCTCTGCGTATTCAATGCATTTTTAACTTATATGCTATATAAGGCAAAATTGTTTCTTTTCTCCTTTTTTTTTTTATGAATTTTTTAACAGCTCAAAAGCTTCTTCCGAATGATTTCTTTCATCTAAATTGCTAATAAAATAGAACAAAAGCAAGTGTGACAAGTAAAAATATTTAAGTCAGCAAAGCTGACTAATTAAGTAGCCTAGACGCCACTTCACACAATCCGGTATTTCACTTATTTTCCTGAAAAAAAAAAACCAAAAGCCATACCTCCTTACCGTGTAAACGTGTACTCTCCATAGGTACTCTTATAAGGCCGGTACACAAATACTTGTTGTTTCCCACGTTGTCCATTTGGGGAATTTGGTAATATTCTAATTTCTCTTCAGAAATTATTATTCTGCACTTATTTTGGTTGTACAATATCCAAAATTAGATCACTTCTTCAATCCAATTTAACCTGATCGTATAAAGGTCTATCTTTCTAAAAAAAACGGTTACATTATATAAAATTAAAAAAAAAAAGGGTCCCACTCAATCCAAATTTTGAGCACGTATTTAGTATGCGTGCACGTATTAGTATATAATTTTTTAAACTTTTTTTTTTTCTTTGTTTGTATGTACTCTTTTTTTTTCAAAGGGGGGCCATTACAGTAGAGGAGTAGTTGTAAAATTACAAAATTTCGTCCAAAACATATCAGTATACCAATATGGCGGGAATAACTGAAACCAATCGGAGAAACCGACAGACAGGCGGGCGAACGGACGGACGGACGGACAAGCTAAATCGATTGAGCAAAAAAATAAAAATTGATAACAGATCAGTATAATAAAAGGTAAATCTATCCAAGTCCATGTCCATCTGGATATTACATACATTCGCACAAACTTAATAAACTGTACATCGTAAGCGGTGTAAGGTAGAAAAAACTAACTCTGCTTATATGAAATTATAATAAATATTTTGCTAAAATCAAAAATACGAAGGCTATGCATTAATTTTTAAATATTAATCTATTAATTACATAATTATCTATGCTTTACTGTAAATTAAATCGAAATGAAAAGGCAAACACTAAAGTATTGTTAAAAATGCTAATCAAATAAATTATAATCAACGTTTACTACAAAGACGTTTCATAACCTATCATAAGCTATGGTCTTTGAAAATTTAAATTAAGTAAAGATAATTAAAAATCTATATAAAACATGTATATGCGATGGTAATCTTCAGCTTTAAACAATAACAAAATTTGTGAAATGGTATAAGGAGTTGTTTACGAATCTGTAAAATTGTTTATAAATAAAATAAAATAATAATAAGAACTGTTAGAACATAATCGAATTGTTTACATGAAAATTTTTTATGAAAAGTAGACATCATATTGGGGACGGTCGAAGGTGAGGAAGTAAAAGTTGCAGGTGCAGTGGACCGACCCTCCCTGTCATTTAAGGGAGAGCGTCGATTAATATCTATGTGTATGTAAGTGATTTCCCGTGGTTTTGTTTGTTATCTTCATATTTATCCATTTTATTTTAGTCGGTTAATTGAAAATCTTGCAGATCTATCGTTGGCCACGCGTTGCTATGACCCAGAACGGCTGGCTAATTCTGGTACTCACAACCCCCATCTTCTCGGTTATACGACAGCCCACCGTTCCATTGTCTGCGCAGAGATAGTGATTTTCCATTAAAAAGCTGATATGAATCGCTTAGTTGATGGTGAATGCAAACGCTAATCGATCTGAGAATTGCGCTCTTTCAACTTGAAGTGACATTTGAGTGGTTCTGTTAAGGCTGTTGCTCTTACGACATTGCTGATTTTTATTATTTTTTTTCTACAAGGCGCATGTCCTTGCAAGACTTTGGTTTGATATTTTACAACAACAAGGAATCGATACGATTACAAACAATGCGGGAATTTAATTTGCACTGTAACCATTTACACGCGTCATTAATTCATGCATCCCAGCGTCGGTCGTTGTTCCGTCATTTTAGATCTGTACATGTGCTGCAGAGACTGGCACATGTAATGTTGTTGACGACTGTCAATTGCTGAGATTGCACCGGACTTTGTTAACAACAAAATGCGTTACCAACAACATGCAACATCTAGTTTCTTTAGATGTTCCAGATTATCTGTCGACTCGCTTTTGTCGTTTGCGTCGTTCACGTTCCATATGCAATTGCAAATACAGTGTTTTCGTGTACGCGTGCATTTCGAAACACGGTGAAGAAAATAATTAACTTTGTGATCGATGAACTTAGGGCCATTTTTGTTGTACATTTGCACACATACAACTAAACCTTATTCATGTATGAGATATGAAGGAATTTACCGGGCAGCAGCTACTTTACCGCTTATATATCTTCCCGCCTGACATTCTACGGTTCCATCGACATCACAATGATCACATTTTTCTGATTGCACGCCAAGAACTATCATATCGCTGCTTTTATTCACGTACTTACAAATGTATGCAATCCATTTAAGGCAGTTACACTTTTATCTGGTTATCGAGTTCGATGTCAACGGTTCGTATTCGGATCGTTCGCAATTTATGGCCATCCTTTACTGATCTTAATCTATATATATAAAGAAAATCCCGCGTTTGTTGTAACCTCCTCGAGGATATCGCTTAGAGCATTTCCCGTCTACCATTCACGGTGAATTTTGACTTAATCCATGCAACATATATTTCATTATAACTTGATGCAAATCCTTACGGACTTCGGCATGAGCCATGATTTCATTCGCCGGTAATTGTTCAGTTGTCTATCTTGCCAAACCGGATTGCGCGTGAACGTAGTGAACACTTCTGAATGTTCGCGTATGTACAAGTGCGATTAACGTACACATGCATATTATCAGGATGCTTATATGAACATTAACGAAATCATTAGTCTTTCAACTGTATTACCTGAACGTACTCGTCAGAGCAGAGAAACGTATAAATGTCAAACGTTTTGTTTCGATTTTTGATAAAATGATTCGGCTATTTTTTATGTTGGCATCTGCTTGTGTGTTTTACTTCTTATATTATTTTCCATTTCGCTTAATGTTGATTATAACATTGTCTGTTCTGCATTGTCTGTTACGGTGAAGAATTATTCCCTGTCTGCGAAATACATGCGTTAGCACAAAAAGTTGGGTATGGTAACTATTGAGGACTATACGAAGGTACACTGTGCGAAATTCAATCTAGGAATGCACTTCAGATAATGCCCGAATGCACAGGCTATCAACAAAAATCTGCATCTCTGGTCACAAAATTTTCGATTTCACATTATTTCAGCCCAAAAATTGTTGGAACGAAAAGCAGTTGTTTCAAGGACCTGCCCTATTTCCGTCTCTAAACATCCGTTAAAGCGGGTTCAGATTGCGGAATGAAAGATTATTGGGCTTAAATACCATACCGGCAATCTATAGTTTTCATCGAGCCCGATCCCTTCAAAGTTTCAGAAACCACCTCGCACCTGTTAGAGGTGAATAATCACTTTCTTCCTCCTCAAGAAACTACAAACTGTTTAAACGTTCTCTTGCACGCTTCTTAATATACGATACGCAGAAGTTGAAATAAATTCAAAACTAACTCGTTTTGCAAATTTGCAAACATACATATATATATATATATATATATAGCTCTTTCGAGATATACATATCTATGTATTTTACGAAATTATAAATTATAAATGAATACATTACGCGGATGCTGTCTTGGAAAAAACAAAAATAAAAAATAAAATAAAATAAAATGAATACTGATTCTGCGAATTTAATAACTGCTTCTCTTACATTAGAAATATTGTTTAAAATCGCCTAATGAAGGTATATAAAAGTCTGGGACATAGTGAAAAAGTTTCATCTCCACAAATTTCTCCACATCCTTCCATTGATAACGACCGGTTCCTACCAACAAAGTTGAGAAACCACAGTGTTTGCCGAAGACTACATCAGTCTTAACGCTACAAAAGCGAAACAAAGAAGATAAAAAAAAATTATCCTTCAATTTAGAGGAAACGAAAACTGCAATGCGATTAATTTAGTTTTCATCTGTCATACCAATCGCCTATCATTAGGGTCTTTTCCGGAATTATTAAGCCCTCGTTAATCAGTTTATCCGCCACGGCTCTATTCGGTTTGCCCATAATTAAAGCCTTGCGTTCCACACAAGTTTCCACGGCTGCTACCAAGGCCCCAGTATCCGGGACACTATGATGAGGATATTTAACAACAGCGTTATCATTGGTGGCCAAAAATATGCAAGTCTCATTTTTATGCAGAAAATTGCAAGCTCTTAACATTTTTTTATAAGAGAAATGTTCATCAAATCCGACAATTACTGCTTGAATATTTCCCTCGGCACTCTCTTTATCCACCATTTCAACTGTGTCTGATAAGCTGCGCTCGAGAAAATCAGGCCCCGTCCCAAAGAAATCGATATTCATGGCTGTCAACTCTTTGGCCAAAGCCTCGCCACCTATTACATAAGCTTTTCCCTCGAGTAGATGAGCTTTAAGGTAACTAGCCACAGAGTATGTGGGTGATATGATATTAGATTCGTTTATGCAAAAATTCATAGCCCGAGCCTTTAACCACAATTCATGCCGCGTCTTCGTGCTATTGTTTGTCACAAAGTAAACGTCTTTACCTTGCTCCAATAGAGCGTTAACCGTTTCCGATGTTAGTGGTATCTGCTGGTCATCGTACCAGAGAACCCCTGCGGAAAATAATTAATGCATTTTTCCTATTTAACGTGCACGATACGATATTGATCATCTTACCGTCACAATCCACTAAAATTGTTTGAAATGAATTGAACAACTTTTTCGTTTCTTCAGAATTTAAATTTAACAAATTTTGAGGCACAACAGGCATTGTTGTAGCGACACTAATTTATTGCTTTTGAAAGTATAATGAAAGGTTTCGCACAACAACTGCAACTAGGAGACTTACTTCAAAGCTCCCAAAACGAATAATAACTAAACGCAACAATAAACTAATCAAGTAATTTTAAATTGTTCTTGCTGCTCTGTCGCGAACCGTCATGAAGAGCAAATGGAAAAGAGCTAAAGTTTGCTTTCTTTTCAATATAAATTTCAATTGTGCTACGCTGTCAGACGGCGGTCTCTACATTCTTTGATAACTAACAATTGATTTGATAACATACAGCGTATACGTAAGAGCACACTCAGCTTTTTCAGTGATATAATATTTGCATAAGATCGCCGAATTTGGGTAAATAAAAATCCGGCACTTGTTTATATAATTCGGGATCGTTCGAATTTCGCCATTTACGCACATCGTCCAGACCGTGAATGCCGCTGCCCACAAGCATTGTATGAAACCCGCAATTATACCCAAATAATATGTCGATGTTACCTCTGCAAGAAGATATAGATAGAACAGCTACAATTTGTATACATACAAGGAGATATAAGAGGGTAAAGACAAAGAAGCCGTTAACTCCGCACAGAAATTATCTTAAAATAATACGAGTAATACTGCTTAAATAATAAATCGTTGATATGCATAATAGCTTATGTAAAAATTGCAATAAAATTTTTAAGTTTACTTAAGAGTTTAAGTATCAGAGAATGTCGCTGTAAGATTCCAAGCCTCCCTAACGTTTCTTGTCTTCTTTTTTTTTTTTATTTAATTTTAACGGAATGCTTTTTCTCTCTCTCTCTCTCTCTCTACCTACCTATCGCCTATCATTAGAGTAGTTTCAGGCCGCAATTCTCCACTTTTTATTAGGCTGCTACATAAGTAAGTACTAGGCTTGCCTATAATTGTAGCTGTGCGCTTGGCGCCGAATTCCACTGACCGGACTATAACGCCGGAACCGGGGCATATCACACTCGTGCGCGAAAATGTTTCATCAGTGTTTGTGGCTAAAAACAAGCATCGCTCGCCTCCCTCCAGATAATGTAGAGCTTTCATCAATTTTGGAAAACTGATGTGATCGTCAAAGCCCACTACCACAGCGCCCACATCACTCTCGAGTCGAATATGTTCAATGTATTCATCTAGAGTACAATTTAATATGTCTGGTCCCGTTTGGGTATGTTTAATATCTACAGCGTCCAGCTCTTGGGCTATACCTTCTTTACCAATAATGTATACAGTGTTGAGAAATTCCAAATCTTTAAGATAATGAGCCAAAGTATGAGCGGACGTTAAGATATTCTGAATATTAATTTGAAAGCCATACTGTAAAGCTTTTTTAAGTAAGCCTTCACGTGATCGCGTGGAATTGTTCGTACAAATATAACACTTTTTACCGCGCTCTCTTAAACAATTGAAAATCCTTGGCGAGTCTGAAACGGGACCATAATAAAGCCATAGAACGCCTAAGAAATATTCAAATTTTTATAACCAAGTTAATGAGGATATACTGGTACTGATAATTGCTCACCATCCGCATCGCACAATATCGTCTCCATAGTGTCGATAATATTTCGTGCTTCGTTTTTGCTCAATTTTAATAATTGGGTACAACTTTGCTTGTATTTTTGCAAATTTTTACTAAAAAAACGGCGAATCATCTTATAAAGACCTTCCCCCATCCTTCTTCCCACCATAGATACAATTTATCGTTGCTTTGTTGAAAACTTATATACAATTTTTTGTTTTTTTTTTATTTTTTATTTTCTCGTAAACGGGTCATAAAATATCTAGATATAAATCCTAAAAAAAAAAATCTGAACACCCAGTCATAATAAAACTTTTCAGCGTACAGTTGAAAAAGATCTGAAGGTTTTTACTTTTCTTTCTTTTTATCCGACTTTGTTGTGAACACATGATAAACAATAAAAAAACACGTGATTAACCTATTTCCTAATCTTATGTTTAAAATTGCTCTTATTCTCTCCCATGAGTATTGTTGTGCTTTGCTATTTGTTATTGTTGTTATTATCATTATTATTATTATTATTGTTATTGTTGTTGGCGTCGTTGTTTCTTGTTTAATCTTTCAATATTTTCATTAAATCTCCTAATTTTGGTAAATAAAAATCGGGTACTTGTTTGTGAAGCTCTCGATCAGTAGAATGACGCCACTTCTCTATGTCTTGTAAAGTATTTGTGCCACTGCCAACGAATAAAGTATAAAAGCCGCAATTATAGCCGAACAACACATCAGTATTACCTCTAAATGACAAATATTTCGTAATTTTTAGTATTATGTAAAAAAAAAAATTAATATACTAACCTATCGCCCACCATTAACGTAGTTTGTGGCTTAATTAAGCCATTCTTTAAAAGAGCAGCACAGAATTCTTTATTGGGTTTCCCCATTACCTTAGCGGGCCGTTCCGCGCAGGCTTCAATAGCTCTCACAAAACAGCCGGTAGCCGGCAGAATCATTTCACCAGCTGGATAACGTTCATCGGTATTGGTCGCCAAGAGTAAACAATCCGGTTTCATAAGATAACTGCAGGCTTTTGTTAATTTGGGAAAACTAAAGTATTCATCAAAACCCACCACTACAGCGCCCACGTTATCATTTAAATCTATGGTATTCATCATATCCTTAACTGTGCCTTTCATATCATCTGAACCGATGTCTAAATATTTAATCCCCACAGCCGCCAATTCTTTTATCAAACCCTCTCGACCTATAACGTAAACTAGTTTATCGAAACCCATATCCTTAAGATATTGTGCCAAAGCATGAGAGGATGATATAATATTATCGACCGTCACTTTGAAGCCCATGCCGCAAGCTTTCTCCATAAGAGACATGCGAGTACGGGTAGAATTATTAGTGCATATAAATGTTTTTTTCCCCCTCGACGTCAAAGCATTGAAAGCTTCTGGTGAACCTGGTATGGCGCGATCGTTAAGCCAAAGCACTCCTGTAAAAGACTAGCATCAGTGAATATTGTTCATTGTTAATACCAAATCGGTACTTACCATCACCGTCAGATATTACAGCCTCTAAGCTGTTGATGAATGCCCTGGCTTGTGCTTTTGGCAACTTTGTGAGATCTGTACAGCTCTGTTTGTACTTTTGAAACGTTTGCGTACTAAACTTTACACCATTTACTAATGATCGGTTAAAATTCGTAAATCTTTGCAAACTAAACATTTAATTCTTTTTTTTTTTTTTTTTTTTTTGTAAAAAAATGTACTTAAGATATTTGGTGATTACTTTATTTTAGTTAGTTTACGTTGTTTGCTTTCTTACACAACACACCATACGTATTATTAATCTAGTTATAAAGACTTCACTAATGAAAACAAACTTTGAAACCCTTACAAACACACAAATCTCAATTTCAAAAATACTCTCAAACTGTATCTCTCTTTCTCTCTTTGTTTTGTTAATCAGCAACCAACCAGCTGTTTCTGTCATTTTCATTGTCACCAAAGAAAGAAAGTACTCTACGTTAAGTTAGCAAACATTAGAAAAAGTGCTTTATAGTTTATTTCATTAATATATTTGAAGAGTAAAAAAAGAAAAGCTGATCACATAACTTTTTGGTTAAGCATACATTACGTAAAATTATAAATCTAAAAAAATCTCCTACATATATTGTAATAAATCTCCTAGCTTCGGTAAATATACATCAGGCACTAGTTTCAGTAATTCGTCATCATTAGATGTCTGCCAGCGCCTAACAGATTCAAGTGTGTGAACGCCAGTGCCTACTAATAATGTTTGAAATCCGCAATTATAGCCCAATAGAATATCAGTATTGCACCTAAAAGAGAGAAGGAAATTAAATTTATAACACTTTCTTATACTCTTACGTTGTACCTGTCACCTATCATTAAGGTTCGTTCTGGTTTAATAGTGCCATCATCGATCAAATGAGCACAAATAGACACATTCGGCTTACCAATAACCAAAGCCTGACGTTCCGCACATGTCTCAATGCAGCGAACTAAACTGCCAGTGCCCGGTATAACCATTGAGGGCATAGGGAACCGTTCATCGGTATTTGTGGCAATAAACAAGCAATCAGGATCATTGAGATAAGAGGCAGCCTTAGCGATTTTTGGAAAACTAAAGTGCTCATCAAAGCCCACCACCACTGCACCTACATTGTTTTCCAGTTTAAAGCGTGTGCTCAAATAATCAGCCAAATTACCAGTCATATGATCTGGCCCTACAGTATTATGCTTTATATTAAACGCATCTAATTCCTTGGTGATACCCTCAGAACCGATCACGTAAACGTTTTTATTGAAATCGCGCTGCTTTAAGTAGGTCGCTGTTGAATGGGCTGTCGATATAATTTCATTTTCGGTCACATTAAAGCCCATTTGCTGGGCTTTAACCAATAGCTCTTTCCGTGTCTTTGCCGAATTATTTGTACAGAAGAAAATCTTTTTACCCATTTCCTTGAATCGATTCATGACTTCTACGGAGCCATCAATTACATCACCATAAACCCAAAGAACTCCTGAATCATAAAAAAATATAAACTAGTAAGATATGTGTTTGCGTTTCTTTAGATTTTGAATGCTTAAAAATATGTAAAGGTTTATGTTTTATTTAATTTATATCTGATATATCAATGCTGTATATTTTATTATTTCCAAATAGCATGCTTAATAAACCGTAACCCTCTCTCTCTCTCTCGTAAACCTATTAATTGATGTAAAGGTCATTAGCAGAACACGTTCTAAGAATTTTGTACGCGTTCTTGACCAGTCAATAATTTCAATGATAACAAAGTTATGCAATATTTTATTTATTTAATTTCCTTTCTTATAAAATTTTCTCTTAAGAGTCTAATGTGAATGTTTTTTTCGTTTACCATCGCAATCTGTTAAAACAGCATCGAAGGAGTTTAACCAATTCATCAATATGCCGGCATTTTCTTCTAATAAAACTGTAGCCGAACGCGTAAACATAATGCAATTTCGAACGTTTATGATTTTATATTATTTTCAAATGTATTATACGGAATTGTTGCAATAATTTTTTACTCAGAAAAAAGTTACAATTTATTGATTTTTGCGATGAATTTAATTTTTTGCAAAATAACTGATACACAAACAAAAAAGTACACTCATACAAACATTTGTTGACAACAAGTATACGTTTTATTGTTTTTGTAACACACTGCTGTTTTTTGCGATTATCAGCCATTGTACAACGGCTATCGTCAAAAATTCGCCCGGGTATTTTCGACGATTGCGTAGTTCATTCTCTTCAAACAATTGTTTGTTTAATAAATCTCTTCGATATGAATAGTTTTCTATTATGAGTTGAGAAGTAGGAGATTTGAGAACAAAATTCACGCTCCATGTTGAGTTTTGCAACAATGTTAATCGGAACCTATATCGACTTAACATTATGTTTACTCAAACATAAATACAGCTGACAATTAGGTTGGTTTATATTAAATTGCGAAAAATGTCGAGAAATGCAAAGAAAATAAAAATGTCAGATTAGGAGCTTGCCTCGGTATAGCTAAAATCTAATGGAAGCGAAGCTTAGACTTAGACTTTTATTTCGATTTCCTTCGCATACGAAAAAGTATTTGGTTCGTAAGAGGACAATTATTTTCAAATTTATCTATTATTATTGCAAAATAAAGAAGATTTTTCATATTCATAAAAAAATTTTCCAAATTGTTAAATAAATAAAAAATATAATAGCGGCTACAAGGCAGCAGGTGCGCTAAAATGTGCGCTTTTTTTTATTGATATCTTCTCTTAATTGACCTCGAAATTTAACGCATTATATTTTTCACAGTTAATAACGGGTATTTCTTTGACTACATTTGAACAAATGACTAGAGTTACTAGAAAGTACTTTACAGATGGCAAAAAAGCCACATCGAATGGAATGGCGCGCGGATGACAGAAAATTCGAAAAGTTATAAGAAGAATTGATAAAACTAATGTTTGGATTAGTTTAATCATGTCGGACACTTTGCGCCAATCGTCGTAGTAGTCCGTATACTTTTTATAAAATCGACATACATTTATGTATTATTGTTAAATTTTATTAAATTTGACGCACAAGCTGCAGGCTATAGGGAGAAGGAAGAAAATGTAAAGATATTTGAGCGCAATCTTGAAAGCTTAACACAATGAATGCCTTTCTGTCGTGAATCGTTCACTCAAATGTGTACATAAGAGAATTAGTCGCGTACCTGAAAGCCAGCTTTCGTCTTTATATTCAACCGTTTTTGCCAAAAACTTGAACACAAAAGTGAAACCTTTATTCGTCATATGTGATTACCGCCAAGGTTTAATTGTATGTGCTTATACCTACTTGATCACATAGTTTGCATTATATAACTGCAAATTTTTGACAATATTTTAAGCTTGATATATATATTTGTACAGCCAAGCAAAGCAAAAAAAGGGAATGACATATATATGAAAATATATCAAAATCATATGGTCAATGATTGATGTATCATATGGTTTTAAAGTAGTCATTTGCATTTTTATTTCTTATTTTACTAGTCGAGGTAATCACGTAATTATATGTTAGATTTTAATTTCACATTCAGCCGTTTAGCAAAGACAGGAGAATAACTTGAAATCAAAGCGAAAGCAAATTTATGAATAGTAATAAATGTTTGAAATTTTTTCATTTAACATATGTGGAGCTGTTTTATTAGAAATGCTGGCAAGATTTTCTTTCGTTTTTGTTTTCTACTCTAAAATTGTAATGAGTATATGAAAATACAAGAGAGAATAGAGGAAAGAAATAGTCAGGAAGGCCAAAAAAAAACCCTCTTTCAGGCATAATCACGTATGAAAACTTAGACCTGCGCTTTCAGCTGGTTTTGCTATGTAGCTGAAAACGAAAGCTGGCTTTCAACTACGTGATTAGCTTATATCAGTACCCGTTAGAAAAACAACCTGCAAACACTTTACAATAAATATAACTTCATACGTTGACCACCTTCTAGTACCGTGGTCCAATGCTATTTCCATGATTTTACAAAATTTAAAAAGCTTCTTATCTCAATACAAAGGCAGTGGCATAAAGAAAATTTCCTCACAAATTGGTTTTAATAGAAAAGTAATGTGGACCTGTCAATGATTTTTAGCAATAACAAAGGATGAATTTGTTAATACGAAATAGTAAAATAAAATTCGACCACTATATTAGCTAATATTTTAAATAAATAGATAATGAAAATTATGAAAAAAGCATTTAATTAAATTTTAGTCTTTTTAAAATTAGTTATCGATCCTCCATGTTTAGGGATCTCTGGTGTTACTTATTTATTCATTAAAACTGACGCTTCAACTAAAGTTTGAAAACTTACTAATTGACTACATGAACCTGCAAATACTTATGACAATCTACGGAATGGTGCATTTTTAGATAGAAATAACTCTATGATGCGATAGCGGGCTTTTGAGCTTCATTTTACAAAGATTGACTCTTTCCCTCAAATCAAAGAAAGTTTTTTAGCGAAATACTCATGTAACAGCAACCCATGTGAAAGATTGCATGATTGAAATGCATTTGAATGTTCCTTAGATCAGCGACTGACCAGCGAACAAAGCTTGATCTGGTGCAACGGTCAGCTAGCAGTCCATATAACAGAATGTCAAAGAAGTAAGCATCTGGGTGAAGGGATTGTGTGGCTTTTATTTTTAAACAAAGCACCAAGCTGATGACTAGTGCGCCTTTTTCCTCTCTCATTCGAATGGCCGACGAGAGCCACATCGAAATTTTTAATATTGCTGCGCATATCTCTGTGGAAACATATCAGCTATTTGCAATCTTTAATGGTCACTATCCGAGCACTTCATCAAAGCGAAAATAAACAGTCATTGCATTGACCGAATTCAGCAGAGCCCAATATAGATTCCATATTTCTTGTGAGAGCCGTGTGTGGAAAAAACAAGGTTAAGCTGACCAGGCTTTCTGGGTACCTTTCTGTCACTTTTATAGTGTTGCGGTGGTTACAAGAAGTATGCACCTCTTTTATGCTTTCAGTTTTTGCGTAGAGAATTCTCATGTAGCTTGCTTTCAAAGAGAGGCGTCACGCAGCCTTATACCATTCTTGTCTAAACTGATGTGCATCGGTCGCTGGGCAGCGATGTGGAATTTTTTGCTGATACGATCAACTATTTTAGTAGTAGTAATTACACTTGGATACGAAACTATTAACTTATCTTAGTAGAAATGTAACCACCATTCTCGTACTACAATCAGCAATACACCTTTTTTGTCACTATTGGGGCGCTTTCGTTTCCAACTCTAAATATTCTTATGCTATTTCTTATTTATTTATTTTTTCTTCTTATAAAAAACGGATATTAATCTTATACGTTAAACACGAATTTTTTTCAAAATTGTTTTAATTAAGAAAAGAAAGCAATAAGGCTACATACAAGAAAAATGAGGATTACGTATGTTCGAAAATTATTAAGGCAGTTAACTACAAATACTTCGAATTAATTTAAAATAAACTTGTTTTGGAAGCTCTATTAAAAAAAAAAAAAAAAAAAAAGACAAAAGAAAAATCTAAGTAAACAAGATAAAAGTGTTTATATATAATAAATTTAATTTGGTTGTTTTCTCTTTAAATCGCTTTTAGGTGAAACGTGACTTAAAATTAATTTTAATTCTTAACTAAAACAAAGAAGCTTGCTGAGGCATTAACATGCTAGCAGGACCTGACATTGAAGTTAAACCAGACGTAGAAGCCAAAGCATTAGTTTGAGCAGCCGTGGTTAAACCCGCTAGGCCGGTTACATTGGCATTTCCAGCTGATCCAGAACCGACCGCTGCCCCACCCATAATGCTGGCTGCCGTAGGACCCAACATGGGTGAAACACCGCCGGAAGAGGGAGGCTCCGGACTGTGAGATTTCTTTTTGCGTTTCTTTTCTTTTTTACGTTTTTTACGCTCTTTATCGTCCTCGTGTCGCTTCTGCTTTTTGTGTTTCTTTTCATACGTTTCTAAACCAGAGGAATCTGCGTTGAAATAATTAAAATTTAATATCAAATTTTGAATAATCTTAACTTTCAATATTGAACTTACCCATTAGGTTTGTTTCTGGCGGTGCTGCTCCATCTTTGTGTTTGTGTTTTTTATGTTTGTTTTTATGTTTACGTGCGGGTGTAGTATTTAAGGCTCGGTATTGCTCAGGTAACTATAAGCAAGAACAAAATATTATACGATTTCAGAAATATATTTCAAAATGTAAACGTACAGGTCCCGGATGCAATCTAAAGCCAGCCAATTGCACTGCCGTTAAAGGCAATAATTCTTTACCTCCTATAGGTGGTTTATCAATGACACTGCGCAATGTGCTGTTTTCCTAAATATTTTCAAAAAAAAAAAAGAAAAGCCAAATAAGAAACTTTTGAATACGAAGCCTGTCCAATATAATTACCAAATTACTCATACTATCGTATATTCCCGGTAAATTTGGTAGAAATGAAGCCAATGACTCTTTAACCTTCTTATCTTTGAATTTAGTTAAGGTGTGGTGCAAGCCATATTCTGTCATTAGATCTTTATCCCCGGTCAATTCTCCTTTACCCGGTGGCTCTTTCATTGAATAGAATGGTCCTGTTTGTATAATCGTTGGCGTTTTGCCCAATGATATGGTTGCCTTCAATGTGCCCGATGAATCTTGTCGGGATACCACCGGTGAGCGACCACCATGAGGTGACGACTTTGGAGAATAGTTTGACTCCATTTTGCGAAATTGCTCGCCCATCATCATATTGCCGTAATTGTTCATCATGTTTATCGCTCGTTAAATTATTTAAGGTCTGTCCTAAGACAAGACGCCTGCCGTGTAGATGCCACGCGGAAACCGTTAACCGCAGCGGTATTTGAGCAAATAAATAAAAACTACAGCTTGCAGAATGCTCGTCGTTTTTTTAAAAGTTTTTTATTAGTAACTTGTGTCACTTCTCCCCTTGCGTGTATATTCTATCCACGCAGAAGCCTTCTCGCAAGTGTTTATTTTTAATTCTAAGCCTTTCTTTTTTAAGTTTTTTAATTTTATATACAAATTTAACTTGTGTTTCTCACTATATTTTTAAAAGATTTATGTTTTTGACGCTTTTATTCCAATATTTTCAATAAATTTTCAATAAGTTGCCTGGCCATCAATTGCCGTCCAATTAAACTCTTCTTTTTTCACTTTTTAGCATTGTCTATCCAGAGTTGCCAAGACCTCTATGTAGAGAAAAAGAAAACAATTATAGATTGTAAGAGTTTGGATGGCAAATGTAAACAAAAATTAAAATATGCAACAACAAACACACATGCTACTAGCTTCACACACAATATTTACAGCTTTACAACACCAAAACTCACATAGAGCTTTACAAAAAATAGTGCCCCCTAGTGCACTCCTAAATATAAATAACTATGCCCGAAACGTAATGTACAACATAATATAATACGTAAGTAAATATTTCTTTCTGCATTATTCCAGATTAAAAATTGCATTTGCTGTCATTAACCGTATATTAAGTCATTCGGTTGTATGGCCACACTTTTAATAAACATGCGTTTTTGATACAACGCTGTGTGATTTGTTCTTTATGGAAAGGAGTTTCACAGCTCAAGGATGCTGAAAATAAAATTCTACTTTCCAGAGTAAAATTTACTTTGTGATATACTATTTATTCCATTTCAATTTCCATATCAAAAGCATCTCGGAATTTCGTAATAACAAAGCAACGCAACAAATTAATAGATATATATATGAAAGTACACAGTTATTATAAGCAAACTAACTGAATTGAAAAGAGTTGCCAGTTCAAAATTGGAAATTAACACATTTTTTACAAATCACGGCGAATCCTTGGTTGTTGATTTGCTGAATAACGGAGAGGAAGAAGAAGAAGTTCCATTAAGGTTTTATTAAATTTTATTCTGGCACTGTCATCTATTAATGGTCATACGGTCATACATTTGTGGAAAAAAGCAAGTGTTCTACATCGGCCGATTATTGAGCGTGTGGGAAAATTTGATTAATTTCTAAAACAAATCATGCAGTGTACGCTACGTAATATTATAAATTGCTCTGTCCTTAAGGTGAGAAAAGCTCTGCGTTAAAGAAAAAACTATTTAACAATATGGAAAATTGGTTGTTTTCTCAGTGGTTATGCAATTGGTTAGTAAGATACATAAGAAGTAGAGATTGAAGCAATAGAAAGTATAAAATAAAAAGAAACTTTTTCAAAAACCATTAAAAGAAGTATTGTAATAAATACTACTTTCTAAAAAAAAAAAAAATTCAAAGGCCAAATTTTCTGAAAGTGGTTTTGTATCCCGTTAAAATATTGCTGTGAGATGTTATTAGTGTTGCCTTGCAAATGTCTCTTCAAAGTCTTGCAAATGATAGAAATTATAGAAGCGTTTATGCTGGTTTGCTTGTTGGTTGATGTCACACTTTTGCTGATAAATCCAATAAATTCAATTTATAAAGTGTTGCTCACATTTCAATTTATCCATCACTATTATCTTCTAAATACATATTTTGAAATTTGGTTTTTAGACTCCATTACGGTCCAATGGTTCTATTTTGGGGTCCTTAAATGGTCGTAATTATTCTTCGGAACATGAGGCGGACTTGGTTGTTATTGGTTCAGGCCCTGGTGGGTACGTAGCATCAATTAAGGCGGCGCAGTTGGGTATGAAGGTAAAGTTGAGAAGTTGTTCTTCCTAACTCAAAAATTAAAGTGAGTCCCACCGTTTTATTAGACTGTTAACGTTGAAAAAGATCCTACGTTGGGTGGCACCTGTCTTAACGTTGGCTGTATCCTTCCAAAGCATTACTCAATAATTCCCACTATTACCACATGGCGCACTCTGGGGATTTGGCTAATCGCGGTATTGTATGCGATGGTGTGCAACTAGATTTAGACAAGTTGATGGCTCAAAAATCGAATGCCGTTAAAGCTTTGACCGGTGGCATAGTACAGCTATTTAAGAAGAACAAAGTCACTCAATTAACCGGTTTGGGTACAATAACTTCTGCTAATGAAGTGCAAGTGAAAAATAAAGATGGCGGTGTGGATACAGTTAAAACGAAAAATATCTTGATTGCCACTGGCTCGGAAGTGACGCCATTTCCCGGTATTGAGGTAAGCGGTTAAAAGTTTTATATACTGTGAACATTAATATAATGTACTTATTCTTTGAAGATTGATGAGGAAGTTATTGTATCTTCGACTGGTGCCTTGTCTTTAAAGCAGGTGCCTCAGAAAATGGTTGTTATTGGTGCGGGTGTCATTGGTCTGGAATTGGGGTCGGTGTGGTCACGTCTGGGTGCAGAAGTCACTGCCGTTGAATTCATGGATACAATAGGTGGAGTGGGGATTGACGGTGAAGTCTCCAAGACTTTTCAGAAGATTTTGGCTAAGCAGGGTTTAAAGTTTAAGACTGGAACGAAAGTTTTAGCTGCCTCACGGAGTGGCAACAACGTCACCGTTCAGGTGGAGAATGTCAAAACAAATGAAAAAGAAGAGCTTACATGTGATGCTTTGCTCGTGAGTGTAGGACGTCGCCCTTTTACTGACGGCTTAGGCTTGGAGGCTGTTAACATTGTGAAAGATGAAAAGGGTCGTATCCCCGTTAATGCCAACTTCCAGACGGTGGTGCCAAATATTTACGCCATCGGTGATGTCATACAGGGTCCAATGTTGGCCCATAAGGCCGAAGA